CAAGTTATATGTTGTTCTACCAAAGTATTGCAATTTGCAATCTATGTGCTTCTTTTATGCTTGAAATTTATGTGCCGTGATAGACTTGTCATTATTGAACAGTGGAACACACATCCTGTATGTTTTTTTTTTTTGGGGTCAAGGTAGGTATGTTATTTTACCTGTAGTTTTGTTAGCTAAATCTTATCTATCTTTGCAGATGATCATGGAAAGAAAATTTCAACCAGTCATAATCTTCAGCTTCAGTAGAAGAGAGTGTGAACAGCATGCATTGTCAATGTCAAAACTCGATTTTAATACAGATGAAGAGAAGGAGGTTGTCGAACAAGTGTTCAATAATGCTATTCAGTGCTTGAATGAAGAGGATAGATCATTATCTGCCATTGAACTGATGTTGCCGCTGCTCCAACGTGGTATTGCTGTCCACCATTCTGGTCTTCTTCCTGTCCTCAAGGAATTAGTGGAGCTTCTTTTTCAGGAAGGACTTGTGAAAGCGCTTTTTGCCACAGAAACTGTAAGACATTCTGGAATTAGTTTGTCTTTCAGTTCTATAATCTTATCTTAAACTCTCTGTTGTGCTAAATATAATTATTTCTTTAACGCCGCTTTTGTATCAGTTTGCTATGGGTTTGAACATGCCTGCAAAAACTGTAGTGTTTACTGCTGTTAAGAAGTGGGATGGTGATAGCCATCGTTACATTGGGTCTGGTGAATATATCCAGGTAAGTCTTTGTTTGTTGGTGCTGGTGATGAATGTGACGAAGTTGCACAAGATGATATCGTAGCAATTGTGTGCTTACAGATGAGCGGCAGGGCTGGACGTCGTGGAAAGGACGAACGTGGCATCTGCATTATTATGATTGATGAGCAGGTAGTTTTATCAGTAATTTTGGTGAAAGTTAATTACCTCGATTACCGGAAAGTTAATTTTGGTGAAAGTTAATCTCTTAGATTTGTTTATGGTGTTATTCAACAGATGGAAATGAATACACTCAGGGACATGATGTTGGGCAAACCAGCCCCTTTGCTTAGTACTTTTAGGTTGAGTTACTACACAATTCTGAATCTATTGAGTCGTGCCGAAGGACAATTTACAGCTGAGCATGTTATAAGGCACTCGTTCCACCAATTCCAATATGAAAAGGTAGCTGTTGGATGTTCTTCTTTTTACACTTTCTAAATTCTTATCTACATTTTTATATGCTAATTTACGTTGGTACTCCAACCTCAGACTTTACCGGATATCGAGAGTAAGGTGTCCAAACTTGAAGAGGAAGCTGCCATCCTTGATGCTTCTGGACAGGTGCTCAGCACTTTCATATTACAATTCTGTAATTTTGGCCCGTTCTTACTTTTTAAATTATTTGCAGGCGGAGGTTGCTGAGTACCATAAGCTAAAACTTGACATAGCACCATTGGAAAAGAAACTTATGTCAGAAATAATAAGGCCTGAAAGGGTGCTTTGTTTTCTTGATACCGGTCGGCTGGTAAGTTTTCATAAAGTTCAGATGCTTGATCAAAGCCTAGTGATATCGGTTTCTTTGTTAGTACTCCTTATGCGGGAAAAAACATAACGTCTGAAAGCTGTCGAATGCTTCATTATTGATGATTTACTGTTTATAACCTCGTATAAGTTCTCACCTACTATCAGTCCAGGATGGTTAGTAACCAAGTTTTAGAATACGTTTTCCTCTTTAACTACACTCATAGGTTGTTCCTAGATTGTTACAGGTCAATCACCTTCATTGTTTAAAAGATGAATTTTCATTGTTCGTTCCACCCATCAAGCTGTTCCGTTATGTTGGGGAAAAAGTTTTTTTCATGGGTTGTTCAAAATTTTCGAAACTGATAATCAGTGGAATATATTGTATATGACTGCTTTTTTTATATAGCAGAAGCTTCTCATAACTTACTTGGACAAGTGTTTTTGTACAGATTAAGATACGAGAAGGTGGAACAGACTGGGGTTGGGGAGTTGTAGTTAATGTTGTAAAAAAACCTTCAGTTGGAACCAGTTCCGCCTCTTCACATGGTGGCGGATATATAGTGGATACTCTACTTCATTGCTCTACTTGTTTTAGCGAGAACGGTGCAAAGCCAAAGCCGTGTCCTCCCCGTCCTGGGGAAAAGGGTGAGATGCATGTGGTGAGTTCACTTTCACTTTTACTACTGTCTCTAGATGCATGTTATTCTATTCGCGTGCGTCGTGGAGTTTTGAGAATTGTGCTTTTGCGTTTTTTAGGTTCCTATTCAGCTACCCTTAATTTCTGCTTTGAGCAGACTAAGGATATCAGTTCCGTCTGATCTTCGGCCACTAGAAGCAAGACAAAGCATACTACTTGCAGTACAGGAGTTGTCGAGTCGCTTCCCTTTAGGGTTCCCAAAACTCCATCCAGTCAAGGTTTCCCTTTAAGCTGTTAAAGTAGTGCTATCTTCAGTGAAATGCTTTACACAATATTTTAACCTGCTACCAATATGCATAAATTAGATGTTTGCTGATTTCTGCTGTCGAAAACGACTTATATACCACCTTTTTGTAACAGTGTTTTTAGAGTTAGTGCATATGGATTCATCAGTCTCGTATCGCATACTGTTTTTTTGCAATGTTTGAACTAATAAATTAGCATAGCCTTCAGGGTCTCATAAGATCTTATATTATCTACAGGACATGAATATTCAAGATACAGAGGTAGTGGATCTGGTCAGCCAAATCGAAGAAGTTGAGCAGAAGTTACTTACTCATCCGATGCACAAGGTCTTGCTACATTCAGTATTCTGTAACTTGTGATTTAAATCTGATTTTAGAGAAATTTTGAGAGAGCATATTATCACTTGATCAGTAATCTATTGTCTCATTCTTTCTGTGTTGCAGTCTCAAGATGATCAGCAAATCAAGAGTTTCCAGAGGAAAGCGGAGGTGAATTATGAAATTCAGCAGTTCAAATCGAAAATGCGTGATTCCCAGGTATATTAAGTACTTGCTCATCCATGAATAAATCAAGCGGGGTGGGTCTTCTTCCTTTCAAAAATTCTTTACGAGTGTCCTATCTGCAGGGGTTTTTACATGGTAGGAGATTAAAAAATTGCTGTCCCATGATAAATTCTGCTGCTTTAATTTCTCTTGTATTGACTGAAACAGTGTAACAGAGAGAAGAACTTTTATGTTTCATCTCTCTTTCTTACACTCATCACAAACCCAAACAAATTATTGAGTGTTCACTTATTTACCCGACTCTCTGTTATAGTTTGAGTCTCTTCTCATCCCTGTGGTGTTTTACATCATATTGTTTACCTCTGCAGCTCCAAAAGTTCCGAGATGAGCTTAGGAACCGTTCTCGGGTATTAAAGAAACTTGGACACATTGATGCGGATGGCGTCGTCCAGTTAAAGGGAAGAGCTGCCTGCTTGATAGACACAGGGGATGAATTGCTCGTCACTGAACTGATGTTTAATGGTACGGAAACTGTTTTAGCTACTAGTTCTAAGTTTAGGCCCTTCAGGTTTTTCGGTTGCATCACACAGTATATACTTGCGTTGTGTTGACATTAAAATAGTTATCAGGTACTTTTAATGATCTGGATCATCACCAAGTAGCTGCCCTTGCAAGCTGTTTCATTCCTGTAGATAAATCAAATGAAAAGGTTAATCTAAGAAATGAACTTAACAAACCGTTGCAGCAGCTCCAGGATAGTGCGCGAAAAATTGCAGAGGTAAATTAATTTCCCAGCTGAAAGCTTGCTTATTTATCTACATCTGTTTTTTTTTTTTTTTGTTGTTGTGTAATCGTCATATTTTCTGTGATGCCAGATACAACATGAATGCAAACTGGAAATAGACGTCGAAGAATATGTAGAATCTACCATTAGGCCTTTCCTGATGGACGTTATCTACTCTTGGTCAACGGTTGGTATTACTTGATCTCGGAAATGATGATATTTTTTTCAATTGACAACGTTGGGTGTAGTGTCTCTGCAAAGAAATGTGTTTAAGAATTACACGTATTTTTTCAATAGAACCAAATTACAAAACTAGAACTATGTGATTACCCGAGAGAATTCTCCAGACCTACTGTAGCCAACTAAATTACACCACAGGTTTGTTGATTCCTTCTTGATTGTAATCCTTAGCTGACTCGAAAACTAGCTGTTTGTTAGGCTGACATGGAGATATTAAACCTCTAAAATTAGAAGAACGAGTAGTTAAACTTGATGCTTGGCTTGAATGTCAAATATTTTCCGCTAGCTGCTTTCTCGTTCCTGGATCTTGAGCTCAACAGAAATTTGATACTCTCGAATGTTTCTCTTTGAAAGGGTTCGAGCTTTGCAGAGATTATGGAAATGACTGACATATTCGAGGGTAGTATCGTTAGGAGCGCTAGAAGGCTCGACGAGTTTCTGAACCAGGTAACTTCCCCAAAAAACTCTGTTTCAAATGCAATTACATATTTTCTGTGGAAATCTCATGCCACTTTGATTTGTGATTTTGTTCAGCTTCGAGCTGCAGCGGAAGCAGTTGGAGAGAGCAGTTTGGAGAGCAAGTTTGCAGCTGCTAGCGAGAGCTTGCGACGAGGAATTATGTTTGCAAATTCGCTTTATTTGTAGATTGTTAGTACTCTCTCTTGCAGAAGTCAGCCTTTGGACTGGGCAGAGCCGGGCCTGGCCAGAAGCTCATGGAGCATCTGCTTGGGAGCCGATAGTTGTTAAGAGTCTATTAAGCAATGTTTTTCTTTATCATTTTGCTTTTATTGAACAAGGTTGCAAATGTAGTTGTTAAGAGTCTATTAAACAGACTATGTTTTGTAGTTTTCACATTTTATTCCAACTAAGAAAACAAAATCCAGTGATTACAAAAGAAGTGATACATGTTTTTGCCGGGAAAAAGGAGAAGTAAATAGGCCTTTTTCTTATAGATTTTATAAGTGGGCCAATTGATTGAACCCTAGACCCAGTGATTACAAAAGAAGAAAGGATAAAAAAGTTATAGTTGTTCGCCACGTAAACAAACTAAAAAAACCAAAACGAGAAACCCGTTTCTTTCTGGTTCGATTTGACGTCTTCGTTTACCTGAAAGAAACGACCTCCCGCCGCCGGGAAACCACCGTCTTCTCGCCCGCCACCGTAGGTTTGTTTCCCGCACTCTCTCTCTCTCTCTTTTCTTCATTTATTGTAGATACTGTTACTTGATTTGTTGGTTAATGAAGTGAAGTAATTTGTGATGGTTTCCTTTCTTGCTTCTTCTAGGGTTTTCTTTTGGTACTCCTTATGTCTACAGAATCAGAACGTGCTCATTCGGGCTCCGACGCCGTTGACGGCTCTAATGCGTCGAGTATTGAGGTCAGTAATGGTCAGATGTCTGAAACCCTAGCTGACCCCTTGAGTGGTCAAGCTCAGGAGCTGGTGGCAAAGCACGATGGAAATGAACAACAAGGCTGCGTCACTATTAAACCAGGAAGCGAAAGTTTAGCTTCGGCTGGTGATCTTGGGATGGAGAAAATTAATGGGTTTACTCATCTTGAGAAGCAAACCGAATCTGTAAATGGAGGGTTAGATCTAGGCATTGTAACCCATGATGTAGGTGTAGAGACTAACGAAAGTGAGAAGAAGGTCCCAGTAGCTAGCGAAGATGTATCGGTGGTAGATGGTGAAAAAGATTCGAATAGGATCCAAACGGAGCTTCTGGTTGACAAGGAAGTTGAACCTGACATGGTCTCTTCTCATGAAGACCTTGGTGAGGATAGTAAACCCGATGACTCAGGAAAGCAAGAAACAAAAGTTGACAACTTTGAATGTTTTATGGATTTAGAGCCACATGAGAGCAAGGATGAGAGTATTTTGGATGATGATAATGCCCCTGTAAATGTGAAAGGGAAGTTCAATGAATCAGATTTGGTTTGGGCTAAAGTAAGGAGCCATCCATGGTGGCCTGGACAAGTGTTTAATGCATCGGCTGCAACAGGCAAAGCGAAGAAGTACTTCAGAAAAGGCAGTTTCTTGGTAACATATTTCGGGGATTGCTCGTTTGCTTGGAATGATGCGTCACGGATAAAGCCTTTTCGACAGCATTTCTCCCAAATGGCAAAGCAGAGTACTCTACCAGATTTTCTTGATGCTATTGATTTTGCTTTAGAAGAGGTATCAAGAAGGATAGAGTTCGGTTTAGCTTGCTCTTGTATCTCAGAGGAAGTCTATCAGAAGATCAAGACCCAAAAAATAATCAATCCTGGAATCCGAGAAGAGTCGAGCAGAATACACGGTGGAGACAAGGTCTCGAGTGCAATCTTCTTTGAACCTACAAACCTTGTGACTATATGAAGCGTTTAGCATGCTCTCCTAGTTATGATGCTACTGATGAGCTGCAGTTGTAAGTCAGAGAGCTCGGTTATTGGCTTTCAATCGCTGGAAAGGCTATACTGACCTCCCCGAGTTTGAGACACTTCAGGGCTCAGTAGAGTCTGCACCCAAGATTTCTCCTGCAGAAGAGAAAAGTAGCTTAACTGAAGCGAAAGTGTCTGCTCCTGAACCGAAAAAGACTAAACAAGTTTATACTAAGAGGAGAAAGACAGAAGATCAAGATGACTGTAAACACGATGGAGTATTCGAATATGAAGATACTACTGTTCCAAAGAAAAAGGAGAAAACTTTGGCTGAGTTCATTGCTGAGAAACGCTTAAGCAGATGTAATGGGAAGAGATCACATGAAAATTCGGATAATAAGCCGGATTGCGAAAAGAAACGCAAGGCTGTGCACTCAAAACTTCCCAAGTCCGCGACAAAGATCAAGGCGAACCTGCAGACAGAAGTTTCAGGATCTCCAATTTCTCCCAAGAATGATGATAAGATTACACCAAAGAAAGCGAGAACAAGTTTTGGAATTGGAGAAAGCATTTTGAGAGTAGCAAACCAGATGCATTGTTCAACACCTACCGGAGCTCATCCCATTTAGTTGTTTTTTCCTTAATGTAATGCGCTTGCGACTCGAGCTCTCTTAAACCCATTTTATCCAATTTTCTCTTAATGGCAGTAGAAAGTGGTTAGTTATGTCGTAGCTATAAAATCTATACGTATGAACATGTCTCTGATCAACCTAGAATAAATTCATTTATTTGGTTAAGCTAATATATTTGACATAATTTTAGCAATTGCACAAGCTGAGAGCCGTAGAAACAGAGAAATTGTGAAAGCTTTGAAAGCTTTAAACCTTTAATGTAGGCAGAAAAGCATACTTAAGGGCAAATGAAATAAAAACAAGATTAAACTCAAAATCCGTCGTACATGTCCCAGAATCTCGAAGCAGAACAGAGGTATGTCTTCAAATAACAAAATCCATTAACAAAAAAAAAATGCTTCATAAGCCGTAGAGCCTAAGACCTAGGCTTCTCCTTCTTCTCCTTGAAAAGGGCCAAGAGTGAGACACCAGACACCTTCACCACCTTGAACCTAACTCCGGGAATATCTCCGACGGCATGGCCTTTACGCCCAAATCCAGCAATCAACACCTCGTCCTGCAGACAGCCATCAATGAGTCACGAGACTGCAAGCCTATTACTTGAGGAAAGAACTGATTAATCAAAGGTAGTTCTACTTACATTTTCTTCAATGTAGTTCAAACAACCATCGTTGGGGACGAAAGCAGCAATCTTTTTGCCGTTCTTGATCAACTGAACTCTAGCACATTTACGGATGGCAGAGTTAGGCTGCTTAGCCTCAATACCACTACATGATTGACAAACAAAAACCTTTATCAAGATCAAAACTAAATCAAGCGAGATGCATTGGGAAATGCATAACAATGTAACAGGATTTAGAGAGAAGTGAAAGGTCTTACATCTTCTCAAGGACGATTCCTTTAGCGTGAGAAGATCCAGCAAAAGGCTTCTTCCATTCATTTCCAAGGTGAGACTTCTTGTACTGCTTGTCCGCCCACCTCTGGTTAATCCGAAGCCTTTTCAGCTTGCGCCCAGCTCCCATACCACGTGTCTTACTGTTGAGATTACAAGACAAAACACAACAAATTGAGAATAAAAGCCAGATGATAAACATAACAAACATATCAAGAGAGCATACAGTGATGACATAAAGTCATAATCTTTAACCGATAAACACTTTCAGAGAGAGTGGAAACGAGACATTAGCCAGCCGTTATATATATCAAATTCTTGATTTCCTGATTACAGTGAAATAAGACCTATGGAGTAAAGTTCTCACATTCATCTGATATCAGAAACACAAGAATTCTCGCAAATTTGCAGAACCCGACAACACATATGACGAAATTCACCACTCGTTGCGTAAAACGAAGACATAATCGCTCAAAGAGAGAGATGAGATTGAAGAAGAAGGATCTAGGAGAGGAAGCCATACCCCATGTTGACGACGGCGAGAGAGATAGATAGGCGGACTGCAACTGCGGAAGTCGCGACCTTTGAGTTCGTGAGAGCGAAAACCCTAAAGCTTAGTAAATCATTTATATATGTGTAGGGTTTTCAATCAATTAAGGCCAACAGATTATGCAATCGGGTTGGGACATAAACCGGTCTACTATTAATACGGATTAATATGGGGTATAATAATTTTAGAGTAACCGAATGTGGGTTAAACTCCTCTGGGAAAGATATGATGTTTTAATTAAATAAAATAAAAAACTTAATAGAGGAAAACAACCGAAAACGCTTGGGATCTCTCAAGTAGTTTCTCTCTGTATGTGTAGAACACAAGGATAAATGTACTTACAATTTACAACCATAAACATATATTTGACGATTTGTAAAAATTTGGTTATGCACATGCACTTATGGGTGCTCACTGGAGATGTGGTATATCATCATCAGTGAAGTCGAAGGTAGATTTTTTGTTTTTTCCGGCTGGATTTGTTTTTCAAAACAGATGAAATTACGAAAATATGAACCCAAAGTAGTACAATCAAGTAAACCCAAACCGTGGAGAAAATTAAGAAATATCGGTTCAAGGCCCAATAGTATAGGCGGATTAATGGAAACGCAGCGCAGGCCTTACCTTTTGGGAAAGAAAAATGATAGAATTAGTCATGTTTTCCGTTGAACCTTAGGAAGAAGCTGTATGATATAAAGTTGTATTCTGCCATCAAAAACTGGAATATCAATCAATACAACATTTTTGACGTGAAACAGAGCAAAGGCCCAACATTTTTCTAACAAATACTGAGAGAGAAACATTCCTCTCCGAGTCACGTGCACCGGCTACTACTACTACCCTATCCGCCACGTCAGCAAAACCTTTACCTGCTCTTGAACAATAAAACCGGCTGTAACAAGAGGAAGCGCACGACACGCACCGGTTCAGCTGGTCCTCGTACCGCGCTGTCCAAAAGACGACATGCACGACGACCGTCCATTTATAAAAAAAAAACAAAGACCAGATCTTGATCTAACGGCCCATATCGGTTTAGTCAAGCAATTAAGATTCCAGAAGATGAAGAAGCTAGCTCGTCAATGGCGGACTTTTGGTAATTTTCTTTTACAATATTAAAATCAGTCAAAATCGAAGAGAATATTGAAAAGGTTTGAGAAAGAAAAGTAAAAGCTTTATAGACCAAGTAGATTAATTCGTGACTATAGGCTGTTTTCTGCGTCATATATATGGTGAGATAAACAAAAGTCTCTTTCGCTTTCTTTACTTCACTGAAAAAAAGATAGGAGATACGATTCGTTAATTGCAATTCTGAAGTAAAGTATTCTTTTTTGATTTAGTTTAAGTTAGAAAAAGTGAGCTTCAAGTTCACGCTTGTAAAGGTGTCAGTTGCAGCTCACTCTCGCCATGTTCTCTCTTCTCGCGCTCTTTGTGTGTTGCTCTATAATTTTGGGATTTATAAAAAGATAAAATTGAATGCAGAGGTTCTCTTGCTGTGAAGAGTTGGTTCGGTTTTCGGATTAGGGATTTCGTTTGATGCTGAGAAGAAGATGGAGGAGATGCGTAGAGGCGTGCCTACGTGGCAGGACGAGTTAGCAAGTCTCATGGACGGTGGATTACAATACGACGACGGATCTCCGATCCCTCTGACGCCGGGTTCTGAATCAAGGTCAAAGAGCCCGACTTTCGGGTCGGTAGATGGATCCGGGTCTGGATCCGAATCGGTGGAGAGTTTGAAGGATCAAGTGACGGGGTTTATCAAGTCATGGGGAGAAATGCTTCTGGATCTCGCCATCGGGTGCAAGGACGTTGTGCAGCAGACTCTGGTGAGTGAAGACTCGGTCGTCGTGCGTAAGCTCCGAAAACCAGCTGCCAAGGTTGCAAAGAAGCTAAGCTTTCTTAACGAGTTGTTGCCTGAGGATCGTGATCCGGTACATGCCTGGCCTGTCATTGTCTTCGTCTTCCTCATAGCTCTCGCAGGTATAAGATAAAACATTACCTTTGGATAACCCATTTGTGTTTAGTCTCTTCCACAATCGAATTCTGAATCCAGACCGCTTTTGCCAAGCCAATTAGCTGTCTTCAAGGACATATCTGCAGTTCCATAGTCATACACTGAACAGTTATTCAAATCTCTGTATTGGGGTTGAATCTTGTTGAAATTTCTGGGGGTTGTTTTCTTGTTCTGCTTACATGTTGGTTTAAATTGGCAGTGTTGAATCGATTCTATTTTAGTGCAAGAGGTGTGTATCCTTTCTCTGACATATATATATCCAACTTTCAAGTGCAGTATTAAGTTTTAGTTCAGAGCATGAGAAATCCGTCCCCGTGTTGAAGAAAATCCGTTTGCATCCTCCCGGTGCAAGCCGTGTACAGCTTCCAGATGGTAGATATTTAGCTTACCAGGAGCTTGGTGTTTCAGCTGACAGAGCTAGATACTCTTTAATTGTGCCTCATTCATTTCTTTCCTCTCGACTGGCAGGTATGATAAAAAACCAGTTCTTTTTTTCTTTTACAGTTCCAGCTACTTAAGAATTTTGATCATCTGATTGCCTCTAATGATGCAATGTTATCTAAATCAGGAATACCTGGAGTCAAAGAATCATTGCTGGAGGAATATGGTGTCCGTTTAGTGTCATATGATCTTCCAGGGTTTGGAGAAAGCGATCCTCATCGCGCTCGGAACCTTAGCTCATCTGCCTCAGATATGATTGACCTAGCTGCTGCTCTCGGGATTGTTGATAAGTTCTGGTTACTCGGCTATTCCAGTGGTAGCATGCATGCCTGGGCTGCTATGAGATATTTTCCTGACAGGATAGCTGGTACCTTTCAGTTTTTGAATAACATTATCATTTCATTAGAACACAAATCATGGTTTTTCATAATTGTGATGATTGCATTGTGTTTTTGTCCATCTACAGGAGTAGCCATGTTAGCTCCTATGATCAGTCCATACGAGCCAAGCATGACCAAGGAAGAAATGGCGAAAACGTGGGAGCAGTGGCTACGAAAGAGGAAATTCATATACTTTTTAGCACGTCGGTGGCCAAGTCTTCTTCCTTTCTTCTACCGCAGGTCCTTTCTCTCCGGTAATCTCGAGCCAATGGATCAGTGGATGTCAATATCATTAGGAGAGAAGGTAAGTCTGTATTCATCAAGAAGTCTCTTCCCGAGGCTTCCTCGGAGTTATGGCTCACAAGCTAAACCTGTAAATGCCACTTTCTACTTCAGGACAAACATGTAATCACGGATCCAGTTTTTGAAGATCTTTACCAAAGGAATTTGGAAGAGTCGGTACGCCAAGGAACTGCAAAACCATTTGTAGAAGAAGCCGTGTTGCATGTATCAAACTGGGGCTTTAATCTTCCTGAGTTCAGCATGCGGAAGAAGTGTAAAACCAACGGTGTCCTTTCTTGGCTAATGTCAATGTACAGCGAATCAGAATGTGAACTGATCGGGTTTGGAAAACCCATACACATATGGCAGGTTTGTTGGCAATCACTCTTTAAAATCTCCATCTTTATGATCATATTTTCCGAGTTGTGAGTTCTTCCATTTGCTTGCTTGTGGTCACATAGGGTATGGACGACCGAGTCACACCACCTTCAGTGACCGATTACATTAGCCGAGTCATACCAGAAGCAACGGTACATAGACTCCCAAACGAAGGCCACTTCTCTTACTTCTTTTTCTGCGATGAGTGCCACAAGCAGATCTTCTCTGCTCTATTTAGACAACCTCAGGGTCCAATAGAATTATCGGAACAAAGAACTGAAACCCATAAACAACCGGAGATCGGTTTATCCGACACTAGCACTACCAAAGAGTAAGTAAACAGAGGTTATAAAAGAACTATAGAAACACGTTGTTCTTCGTCTTCGTTCCATCATGAAGAACTGTGTAAATAACACCAAGAGGATGCTTTCTTTCTTTTTCTTTGTTGTTGTTGAAAAGTTTAGATTTGATATAGATTGTAAACGAAGCAGACTTCATTTGTGATCACGTTTAGCACTACAATGAGTGCAAGTGAAAATAACTTTTTACTGACGCGGCTCAAGAATAATTTGAAACTCAGTGTTCTTTCTGTATCAGAAAAAAATCTGTTGCATTGAACCTTGAGAGAAACAGTTAACACAAAAATCTATAAAATTTATAATACAATTTCTCGGTTGGGATCAGGAAAGCCGTAATAGAGTGGCTTTCGTCCGAAACAGCGATATTACGTAAAGCCTACATTTTGCTATAAGTGTCCCTTATTCAAGCCCTTTTCTCAGCACGAAAATTCTCTGAAATTTGCTAAAGTTTTTTCAAACTAAATATATACATTTTGTTAAAGAAAATAAAAGGAATCCAAGACGAAAACAAAAACGAACTAGATTCACTTTCAATTTGGTTTCTATATTTCTCAAGATGAAAATGTAAGATTCGAACAAAATCTCACCCACATATTACATCAACTTTTATCAAGAAAAAATGATCTCGACCAATCATGTGGCTATGATGATGGGACCAATAAATCTCACCAAAGGGATTCAAAACGCAGAACCAGAGCTCTTGGTTTTGCCAAGCAACATGTCTTTGGCTTCGTTGATCTTAGACGCAAGGTAATGGCTTCCTCCCGCGTCTGGATGATTAGCCACCATCACTCTCCGGTGAGCTTCCTTCACCTTCTCTGCCGCTACACTCTCCCTGTTCAGACACCACAAGTGGCAGACTTGTCAAGCCACAATAATATCAAACGACCACAAAAACCATAGCAAACATAACATGAAAGCTGATTTCCGATAACATCAGCCGCTATTTGCTACATTCAAAACCTCTACAAGCAAACTTCTTAAGAACTAGTGTGCCATAGATGCTTATTGATGATCATTTGCCAATAGAGAACCTAAAGAAAACATTTTCGTTCCCATGAGAAATGAAGACGCAGAAACGGATATTCACGAGGACTACCCAAAGATCAAGCTATCTAAGAACAAGAGTTCTTAGAGCACTGGAGTGTACTACCATACGGCCTATATAAGCAGAAGGAAAAGTGCGGGTCTTGGCAAAACTAGCTGAAGTGAAAGCTGTTTAAAATCAAAACTAAGAATCTCAAGCCCCTTCTTAATTACAAGTTTATTAGTGACTAGTGAGTCTAGGACACAAGAAACGAACCTAATACCGAGAATCATAGCGGCTTCTCTCCGAGTCATCGTAGCTTGGAAACCACCTTCGTAGAACTTGCGCAGTCTCGGCCTTGGTGGTCTTGCCTTGAATGCTTGCCATGCCTCTATTCCGTATTTACCAGCATAAGCAGCTGCAGCAACAGCAGCACCTGCAATTATTGGTGCAACCTGGAGAATGGAAGAAAAGAGAAGCACCTTAGGAAGATAAACCAGAGAGATGTAGAGTAAACACTCGATGAAATATTTTTGATACTGACACAAAAACTCACAGACACAACAGAGCAAGCGAAAGCCCTATATGCAGGAGCCAGGCAGGACAAAAGGGACTCTTATATACACCCTAAGGTAATCACAGGGATGCTTTCGATATCACCAAATGTTTTTCCAGAATCAATCAGGCAAAACTAGAAAGAACACGCAAATTTACCATTGTTCTGGAGGATTTGAACAGGAATGAGCAGAACAAGAAACGAGATCTGACGAGATAGGGAAAGCCCTCTTCAACGTTGGATTTTCTCGATCGGTTTCAGGGTTAGGGTTTTAGCTGCTACAGTGTTTGCCTGGCCTCGGTTGCGTAAATAAAAGTCGAAACCTTCCAACTCTTCTAACTGGTTTTAGATGAACTCAAGTCTGGAGTTTTGTTCTTATTCCTCTAATGCTCACCATATTTGTTTTGGTTCGATTAAATCGGTTTTCAAATCATTTTTTGGTATTGTTTTAATTAGGATCAGTTCAATTGGATTCACATCCATCTGGTTTTATTTTCGGTATTACACTATTACTAGACTCTGAGTTATGTATTGTTTTAATTAGGATCAGTTAAATTCAGTAGTCTAGATCTAAACCGATCCAAGATATTAAAGAACATTAAAAAGGTATGATTCAGAGACTTACACTGCACAAATGAATCACAGCGACACATTCTAGTAACCAACAACATTGCGTATAGTTTGAGACAAAACTCAGAACACCATTCTTGGCGCAAATATATATATATATATATATATATATATATATATATTATATAATGATAAAATTTGTATATAAATAACTCGGCTGGTCACGGCGTTCTCACCGCCTTGAGAAGGCCGTTCTCCACCTTGGGCGGGGCTGAGGATCGTCTGGGTTTGGGTGCAGGAGAAGCCGAGTAGGAGATCCGTTTCTTTGCTGCTGCTTTCTGCGGTAAAACACCATTTTCCTCCATGGTTGTCGTGATTACGGAGACGCTTGATGAGCTCTGGGCCTTGAGCTTGCCTCTTGTTGATTTTGTGGGAACCATGTTTCTACGTCGAGCCGTTGAGTTCTCGTCATCACTAACCGATGACCTTGCAATGCTGTGCCTACGATTCTTTTCCGAGCTCTTGGCGTTTTCATCGGTGGTCTTTGATTTTATGGACGGTGGTGTTGGCCTGTTCTTTCTCGGGATTCTTGTGGTGGATAATGATGATGAAGATGGGGTATTGAGTTGAGCCGAGCTATTGAGGTTTTTGCGGTTCGAAGATTTTGCGGTTTCTCCTCGATGGGAATTACGGTTAGACGAGGTCTTAACCGAGGAGTTTTCACTGTTGTTGTTCTGTTCTTTCTCTGAGCTCTCCCATGGCCGGTCAGCCATCCACCTTTCCAACCAGCTCCAACCCCAAGTCGGGTTGCTAGGATCCATGAACATCGGGTTTGCAGATCTTGAGTTACTCTTCAGGTTTTGCTGCAAATATGATCACAAGCATTAAACCGAATCCAATGGTGTTTAACTAGAGTTGTGGGGTTATCAAACTTCAAGCCTCAGGAATGTTTGGCAGCTTTTAAAGACTGTTTTGTCAACTTTCATGTTCTTGCACGTTTCTAGGCGAAACTGCAGAATCAGCTAAACGACCAGAATACTTGGAAGTAGAGAATTTAGGTAGACATGGAAGTACCTGATGTGTGAATGCATAAGCCAATGCCCTTTCCCTTCTCATTGTCGCCTCGTACTTATTCAACAAACCTGCTTCTATTTGTTCCTTCGACTGATTGCTGTCATTCCAATTACCCCCATTCTGCAGAAGAAAGAGCAAGTCTTAGGATTAGGAAACTGCAAGAAAATATCACAAGCTACTGCATTCTCAAGATCAAATCTGAAGACGGAGAGAAGATATGATTGACTGAGAAAAACGTTAGACAGTGTAAAAGAAACTTCGATTAGCTAAGACCTAGATCGAAGCTTCCCTAACAACTGAGATATAAAAAAGTAAAACCTTTAAGCCTCCTAGCTCTTTGGCATGCTTCTGAAGGAGTTGCTTATGGCGAGCTTGATTCTCTTCTGACATCCTGACTCTCCTAGACCGGATTTGTGACTGTACACGAGTGAGAGTCTGCATACATTTGAGTGTATTTGCAGCTTGCCGTTGTACAACCGATCCATCCATCAATAACTTAAGTCTGGCCAATCCCCTCATCTCCCGCGATTCTCTTCTTGCCTGCATTGTAGAACTTTTACTAAAACTGATAATCAACCAAAATGTGATTGATTCTATCCATATTTAAACAAATGAACGGAATTTAGATGAAATCTAGCCAATTTCAAACAATATTCAACCATATTATTGACTAATCACAGAAGTTCTAATCAAAGCCAAAACCGGAGTATGAATAACAAAACATACCAAATAGCCCCTAAATGTAGACTGGATCAAGATGGCAGAAGCTTCTTCCTTTGACTTCCCTGCAAACCTATCAGGTGTAGCTGGACGAACAAACTCAGGAGAAGATGGAGGTGAATCTACAAAAACATCTTCTTCTGTAGCAATCACAGAATCTGAAGGAGGAGGGCACAGATTCTTCTTCTTCTCTTCATTATTGACCTCATCAACTCTCACTTCAAACTGAGGAGGAGAGCTTCTGGATGTGGCAACCAAGACAGGGTAAGAGATCACACTATTTTGACACTCAACCGATTGGTGTTTCAACTTCTGTAAACAAAAGGCAAAAAATACCAAGAACATGAATATATGAAGGTCAGTGCTAGAACAGATATATATACTAGTACATACCTTTAAATCTGGGCTAAACGCTTTCTTTACGTTCTTCAGCCATTTCGCTTTTTTTACCATTTCGATCTCTCTGATCCTCCTACTCTCAAATGAAATTGATATCAGTTAAAGACTTTCCAAAAGAAGAAAATCACGGATTGCAACGGATCTAAAATTTCAAGTAGCTAGCCTCTTTGATCAAACCCAAAAGTCAAAACACATAAATTTGCAAGTTGAAAGGACCTTTCTGTACCAGAAGAAGATGAATCGAACCTGTAGAAGCAGATCTGGAAGAAAAGAAACTCGAGATTCAACTTAAACCTTCAAAAGCACGACTCCGAGAGTTCCTTTAATGGCTAAATGCGACTTTCTCGGAAAATGAAAATGCTATAAGAATTTGAATCGGTCGAGTTTTGATCTTTGCTGACTTGAGAAGAAAACCTCCTCACGTTGTCACAGAGATAGAGAGAGAGAGAGAGAGAGATGGATTCAAGCTGAGAGTATTGTGTGAGAGCCCCACTAATTGGGCCGTTTTGTGGGGCCCATTTTGTTTTCCTATTTAACAGCTTGCCGCTCTTTTGTCTGTTTTTTCTTAACATCCAGCTTGCCGCTATTTTTATACAATAAATAGAAAGAATAATTACTAATTTAAAAAATGAGACATTTGTAAAGCTAATTACTGATCTGTGATCGTTACTCTATCGAAATGAGTAATTTACACAATTTTCTTAGATTCAAAAAAAAAAAAAAATTACACATTTTTGTAAATCAATTTTTTTTTGGTTGAACATTAAATATATGGGAACGTCTGAACGTTAATAGTGGATCCTTTTTTTAGTTAATGTGTATTCAGTACTCTTGCAGACAGTCTTGCAGCTTTCTTTCCTCCTTTCGATCGGATTTATATATTTTTGTTGTATCTCTGATTCTATTACAAGTTACTACATCGAATCGGCCAAAAAATCCCAAAAGCTTTTTATTCGTTAACAGCGTGTATCTACGCCATGTTTATTTTTTTAATTAAATTATATAGATTGAATTAACATCCATTTTCTATTACATACGTGATAACACTTATGTATAAAATATATATAATGTTTTCTAGTGACATTTAGACCACCCGAAGAGAACCAACGAAACGATCAGGTTCCTCTAATTGGTGACTCGCGTGGGAGATTTTATCGCAAAAGTACAAGTAGTGGGATAGTTTTAGAAAGTGCACAGAAATATTAGGGTGTTTCTAAAGTTTTTATTTCCACACAGAAAGAAAGTTGACACATATTTCTTGCTTGAATCTACAAATATATGGAAAGAATTGATTTCCAAGGAAGTGGATGAGAGAGTATTTAGAGCAGATTTCTAGAGTTAATATACATCACGCCTCTTTATGGGGCGCGTCTCGAAGCTTTCATCACCCCTGAGCCAGAGGCTCTGTTTCAGACAGTCGGGGTTCTCGACAGCGACGACTGCTCCTTATCTGCTCCTCGGGAGAGATGTGGTCGGAAAATCTCTTTGCGGCGGAAACGTAGTGAACCTTAACTTGTACGATCCGAAGAAAGAAGAGCAAGTGACCATGGAAAATAAGATCCTGGGCCGTGGAACCTCGCCGATAGGATCATCGAGGGGATGGCTAGCTACGATGAAGAAACGCGATTCCACTGTGAGCCTCATTAACATCTTGGACAAACCTTCGAAGACAATCTCTCTACCTCCCTTAATCAAAGACGAAACCGAGCGCCTCCTCAATGTCTCTGTCTCCTCAGAGTCAGAAGAAGACTGTGTAGTCGCTGCGAGGTTTTACGGGTCTAGACTCAGTCTGTGTAGACTTGGTGACTCGGAGTGGACTCGCATCGACGTACCTTGCCCAGACTTCCGTTTATCTCCCGTCATGTACTCAGACAGAGACCGGAAGTTCTACTTGAACAGTTGCAGCTCTGACTACACCGGTCCAACCGATTTCACCTCTAAATCTGGTTTAGTCTCTCCTCCGGTGAGTGGCTACGTGAGATTCCCCTTGTCTAACTTTCCCAAGTTAGATAACGCCTTGAGTCTCCAACGTATCAATGTCCAGCAGCAACTAGTCCAGTCTCCTTCCGGCGAGTCCTTCATCGTTTTATGGTAGATTCGTCCAATCCCTCTGTTTTATATACACTCTGTTTTATATACACTCTGTTTTATATACACTCTGTTTTATATACACTCTGGTTACTGCCTAGATGGATCTTTATGTGCGTGCGTGCGTGTTTGTCACAGGGCTGTGGATTCCTTTACGAGCAAAGGAGAAGCTGTGGAATGGGAAGACGAGATGTTTAACCAGGACGACATCCTCATAAAGACTCACAAGATCATGGTCTTTAGGCAAGACACCGAGAAAGGCATTGGTGCATACACTGAAGACATCGGTGATCTCTGTATTTTTGTGGGCGAGAACGAACCATTTTGTCTCTCCGCTAGCGACTATCCTGGTCTCAAACCTAACTCCGTCTACTTTGCTGGTCACTGCTCAGGTTACGGCGTCTGTGATCTCGCTTCTCGCACCATCAACTATCTTTCTGCTTCGCCTCGTCATCGCCTCTTTTGGCTTCCTCCAACAACATCCCATTCCCACAAGTAGGGAATTAGAGTTTAATTGTCCCTTTTAATTCTCAGTATTCTCATTTTATCACTTATAATTATGTTGTTCAAGTTTCCTTTATATTTGTTCGCCGTGTTTGAACATTTTTTATCTTATTTAGTTATTGCATTCTGGTACTATTAGGATGATCTATTAAGTGACACTTTTCTTGCTTTTCAAGTAAGAGTTTTCTTTTTTCTTTTATAGTTCTTCTCTGTGTGTTGGCCATTTTTCTATCATCTTGTATCTTATGGACTTATGGTTATTGCATTAGAGAGACTAAACTGATATTAATAATAATTCTCATACCACGTGACATCTTATTGACTGTCATGTAGAAGCGTCCATTTTTTTTTATAGAGAAAGTGAGTGATTCGTTAACGCCAAATTAATATTTACAGGGAGAAAAGACATTTACCTAATGCACAAGTCTTGCTGAGACCAAATGATATAAGATTGTTTGATAGGTAATGTTGCATACTTGCTTTGAACTTGTTTTGTTTCCTCTTCTTAAGATTTGGTGTAAAAGGTATAAACTACTAATATTTGGAATCATTAGAAATCAAATCTAATGGATATTCATAACTAATTTATGTAAAACATAATTCAAGATAATAAAACACAAAATTCATGTCAAGGTAGCAACCAAGAAAAAAGAAAATAACATTTGAAGTTACTCTTTTTTTTTTTTTTTTGACCTCATTTGAAGTTACTCTTCTTTATCGTTTTTACTGTCTTTGGGACGAGTGGATATAGAATCACGTTTCGGCCTATGCTTCTTCCATTTCTTCTTCTCCAAAGACAAGATCCACGACGGAACCTCACAGCCCGATGATGTCATCGTGTTGGCTATGTTCCTTAGGAAAGGTACATCTTCCTCCGTGTAGAGCGTTATAGCTTCACCGTTCCTTCCAGCTCTCCCTGATCGACCTGTAACGTTTCAAAAGAGCGGTTACTTTCCAAACGCATCAACTATCATCACAATGACTCTCACAGAGCAGAGCACTAAAAACAAGGAGTGGAAAAATGTACATACCAATCCTGTGGATGTATGCAGATGCAGAATCCGGAAAGTCATAGTTTATCACGCAGTTGATGCCTTTGAAATCCATACCTCTAGCGATCAAATCAGTGGCAATCAGAACCCATGTCTCACCCGCTCTGAAACTATCAACCGCGTTTTCCCGCTGCAGCATCCAATGGTTTAGTACTTGGCTCCAATCATCTCATACATCTATACTTTCCATAAAGGAGCAAACTTTATTTGATGACTATGTGGATAGATGAGTTTACCTCTCCTGGAGGGAGATCGGAATGGATGACCCCGACTCTGATGTTTTCACATTTTAGTTCATCATAGAGTTCCTTTGCGTTCTTTGCTTTGCACAAAAATCAGCACCGGTGGATTGAGACTCTACTGCCAAGTAGAAAAGGGATTACAAAAGGTAACAGATTTATATTATAGTAATGTTTAAATAAGTGAACTTACCTCTGCAAATCTTTGGCGAAGAGCTATAAGTTTCCCTTCTTCAGTTCCAGCAAATACCAGCTTTTGCTTGACGGTTTCAGATGCTGTGTTCCTGTATGAATGCCAAAATGTAAGATCATTTTGCTGCAAGAAGTGTTTGCGATGCATCTATAATATGCTTCAGTATCAATTTATTGTATACTCACTTTCGGCCAATGATCACACGAACAGCATCGTGCATTATGGAACGTGCAAGTTCCTCAACAAAATCAGGCAAAGTAGCACTGAACAGCGAGCGTATGATTGAAGGGTTTGAACAAGCCTTAACCACACAATCTATCTGTTTTAACAAGCTCTGCTCAAACAGCTTGTCAGATTCATCAAGGACAAGATACTCGACCCTGTATTCAACAGAGCGTAAGGTGAAAATGGGCATATCATAATTAGAGAGTACACATGTTTGAATTCTAATAAATGCCGTTGACTTACTTGCTTAAATCAATCTTTCTAGCTTTGATAGCTCTTTTCAGCCGCATGGGCGTTGATATCAGAACATCACACGGCAGCTTTGAGAAATCAGCCGTCTTGACAAGGGGTTTAGTCATTAATCTGATGTGGAACTTGCTTCCTTTAATAAGTTTTTTTCCTTCTCTAGCTGTCTGGGCAGCCAGTTCTCGTGCAGGAGAGAGGATGATTGCTCTTATACCATCTGTTGAAGGGCGCTGAAACAACGAAAAAACTCACAAGCATGATTCAAGAATCCGAATCTGCGAAATCCAGTGGGTCTTAGGATAAACACAGTTTCTTACCTTGAGTTTCATAAGCATGGGACAAATAAAAGCAAAGGTTTTTCCTGACCCTGTTGGAGCACAGGCAAAGCATTCACGACCCTGAAATTAAGCAAAAAAGACAATCTAAAAACTAGAATGGACACCTCATGAAAACATTCACAAAAGTCTCTGCCGTAATGAGTAGAAAACAAGTGAATAAGACCATACCGATAGGAGAACTGGAATAGCCTGCCTTTGGATTGGAGTAGGCTCTTTAAATCCTAGTTCAGCCAAATTGCGTAATATGTATCGCTTGCAACCATACCTGTAAATGGATTGAGCATTAAAATCAAAACCAGAGGAGGAGGAAAGATTTAAACACATGAGTAAAGCTTGTCAATGGACTAAAGGTCCAAGTAAAAATTCACTACCGGGAATTTCATATGGATGAAAAAACTAGAGTCTACAAATGCAAAACAAAACCACTAATCCTATGAGAATAATAAATGAAACTCCTGTCAAATTAAAATAAGATTCCACGCACCTCGATGACAACTCTGCGAAGCTTTTAAGTGGGGGTGGAATATTGTTACCGGAAACATGAATGTTGTACTGTTTCCTCGACAAAGCATCTTTCTGCCATTATGAAGAAGCAAAGTCAGTCATGTATCTATTACTCTTTGCCTTTGATGAAAAAGAGACACAAGGTTAAACAGCTTTATACCTCCATTCGCTGATTAAGTTCCTTCTTGGAATTCTCTAAAATCTCATTCTTTGTGTTCTGTTCTTCTTTTTTACCTTCAACAAGTGCCTTCTTTGAGCTCTTGAACACATCAAATCCTTCAACAGGCTCTGCCTCGACAGAACGAAAGAGGATCAGACACAACTAGCACAAACCAGAGTGAACAGTAATTGCTTTTCAGACTTACCAGAATTAGCAGATTTTCGTTTCCTCTTCTTAGATGACACAATATTCTTCTTTTTCTCAGGCTCCTCTTCTTCCTCAAAGAAGCTCAATTTCTTATTGGAATCATCATCCTCTTCCGTGCAATTCTGACACATCAATGGGGATATTAGATAAGAACAAAGAGCTAGTCAGTACTGCAGATTTAAACAGCACTAACATGAGCAGAACTCACCTTAAACTTAGCAAAATCTGGAGCAAACTTCTTCCTATTGAAGTTTGTTCCACCAAACAGAAAAGAGACACTTTTCTCCATCTGCCAAGTACCATTAAACTCTCAATTAGAAGGCAAAGGAATAATAATATAAAAATAGTTTGAAACAAAAAAATCAAAAGAGAGAAAACAATGTGAGAACCAGAGGGTAAGAGCATGGAGGAAAATTACAAAGCAGGAATAATATAAGCCAGAGAAGATTTATTACAGATAACACTTTCCCAGAGCGATAAACGGAGAGAGAGATATCCAAGACGCACCTAAATAGAGACAGCAATAGTAGCAGCACTGAGAACGGGAAAACCGACGGTGGCGGCACTGACGACGGCGAATAGAAGCGAAGAATCGGGTCAATTTCTCAGGTTGAATCGCTGAAGCAGCAATGGCCGAGGCTGCACCATTACTTTATATAACTGGGCCCAAAAGGCCCAATAAAACAGAAGCCCTAGTTAGATTTAAGTAAGTTTGGTAAGAAAAACCATAAATTTGGAAATTGTCTGCTAAAGCGGGAAACATGTGATGGTGTGTCCCACAGCCGCTGAAAAACAAAAAAATCTCTCTACTTCTTCTTCTTCTCTCTCTAATTACCTCGGGACTTTCTCCGACTCTCTTCGTCGATTTATACACTTCAAACCTTGATCTGCTTCTTCTTCTCTTATGCTTCTCTATTTGACTGTTTTTGGGGTGTACGAATTGTGAGAGATGTGGCAAGTTATTATAGGAGCAGCCATTGCTGGATCCACTGGTTTTGTAGCCAAACGCTTTCTCAACCCTTTCTCTCGAGATTCTCTCATTTCCGAGGATTACGGTGAAGAGCAGGAGCCCGTCACTCCTCCTGTCGGTATCGGGTTTCTCGACTCTCCTTCCGACAAAGCCAATGGCGTTTTCCGGTTTTCTAGTTCCGGGTCCACCGTAAATTCAGGGTCCGGATCCAGGTCGTCTCCCGGGTTTAGGAAGAGTTCAGGGGTGACAACCAAGGTTACGATTCGTGGATTGATGAAGAAGAAGAAGAAAAACAATGGTGGGGGCTATGAGATCGAGAAGCGATCTGGAAATGTTGCTACTGTTTCAACGAAGAGTGACGTTTGCTTGAAAAAGCCGAGGACTTTGGGTGCTGCTTCTGCTTCGAAGCGTGGGTCATCTTTTAGTAATCAAGGTTTGCGCTTTTGAAACTCTGATAATTGACGACGCTTGAAGAACCAAAAATTATCTGTTCATTGCTGTGGTGGGATAAATATCACTTGTATGTTGGGAAATTTGAACCTTAGTTAATTTTCTGGAGGGTCCTTAGCTCATCTTATTCGATGATCGACCTGCGAGAAGAGTTACTTATGGGTTTTGGATCTTTTGGTATAAAATGAAAAATAGTGGCTTTAATATTGGGGATTCAAGGGTATTGTTAGATTTTGCTTCCAGGACTACTTGAGATATAGGTGACAATTTAACAATAGTTCTCTGGTTGGATATATCTTCAGACCTCTAGATATTGGTGTTTTTGTATCTCGTTTAAATGCTTTCCTTGCAGTAACTTTGTGCTTATCTATTTTTCTATAATCTATGTAAGTTGATCCCAACAAAATGGATCTTGTCTATAGAATGATAACTCATCACATTCCTTTTGGCGTTGTCCATCATTGACACTTTGATTCTTCCGTGTTTCAGATAATTCCCCCTTCAGCTCGGCACTCGGTGTCTGCATGATCTATATGATGTCAGCAGAGAAAAGTGAGATCAGTAAGCTGCATGCAGCAACAGAAGAAACTGCCAAAGTCATCCGGGAGCTAAAAGATGAACTCTCTAGGATAAAATCTTTGCAGGGTTTCAAATTCCCTGATCGTGCAGCAAGTTCTGAGAAATCTAGTGGGAAATCTGGTCAGATAGATCTCATTAAATCAGAGATGGCGAGTAGAGAATCTCTCGACAGAAATGATGCTAGCAGCGTCCTAACTGAGGAGCCAGAACAAGAGGCGGTAGAAATGGAACAGTTAGAGATGGAACTTGAATCTGAGCTGCAGAAACTTAATTTGGCTGAGGTGAGTGTGTTTCATCGGTTTCTCATTATCAAATTTACCAATTTCATTGAGATGTATTCTTATTAGCGGTTACATTCGTAGTTAACTTTAAGAGTGAACACGGTCATACATTATCTGGTTTATTTTCCCTATGTTATTTAGTTGAAGCTTATATAAACTTTTACTTTTTTCCCCTAGACAAGTAAGGTTATGGAGGAATGTAAGGATCTGGTGAATGGATCTGAGTCCTACCAATGTGGTGGAATATCGGCATCAGAGCTGGACAAGAAACTAAGCCATCTTCTCATCGAACAACAAGAAGGTCAGATCAATGAGCTTGAAGCTGAACTGCAAACTACACAGTCCAAACTCCAAGAGAAAGAAGCCGAACTTCGAGCGCTTAAGGTCTGCGTGAGACGCCTGACTGAGTTTCCTCTCTTGGACCGTTCAGGTACATTTGGTTGCTATCTACATCTCATTCCTTTGTTTGAATTCCTTTACGCGTGGTCAAGCTCACAGCGTAAAACATTTATTGGTGTTTCCCCAGATGATGAACATGAACAAGACATGAACCAGGATCTCTCAGTCTCATGGAGGCAGCATAACCAAAATAATAAAGAGGAAAGAAAGCCGATCATTGGGATGAAAAGACCTATGGAGTCATCTATGAATGGTTAACAAAGTTAATAACTTTACATATTCGCCATCCCAAAACCTGCACAGTAAGTTCTTGTGTAGACTCCATCTTGCAACACCCAAATGATCCAAATCTCTGAATTTTCGTATCATCAGTTCATGCCAAGGTGGTGTTGTACGCAAGCAAACTAGACTTAACCCAGTCAGATGATCTTTGTATATTCACCAGAAGAATCCCCAGACTATCAGAAATCTTCCAAGTCCTGACTTGTCTAGAGGTTTAGATTGCTAGGTTTAGTAGAAGAGCTAATGATTATGGATTTGTGAACTTCTAAATTTCATTTGTATTCTCTAGCTGTTAAGTGTGTGTCATTGGTGACTTTTCTGATTAATTGCAATTTGCAAAAGATCGATCTCAGTTTAATATACAGTTTTGTTGAAACTATCATAAATTTCAACCTTGTTAAGTTAAAAAAAAAAAGTATTTTGTTGCCATTTGAGTGGTCAACAAAGAGAAACTTTAGAATGCCAATTCAAATCCGACACGAGATCATCTCAGCAAAGCTTATAGAATTGAGGTTTTACTGTCAATTTAAGATAACATGATGCGAATCTCGAAACATTCAAAACTAAAAAAAGTCATATATTATTATTTCTAGGCCTACTCGCCAGGAACTGGAACGCCTTGCTTCAGCTTCTCTTTCTTCATCTTCTTCTTAGAAACCGGCTTCTTCTTCCTCGGAGGCAAATTCTTCTGCGCGTATGTGTAAAGAATGAAGTTTCCTACAAGGAACGTCACTAGCAACCCTCCAATCACAAGAAGGACGATCAGCCCTGGATTGAGCCCTTTGCTTTCGATTGTTCCCTGTTTCATTGTTTTTGTCTTTTAGAAACTTATGAAATACAGATGCAAGAAGGAAACAACAAGACCGAGCAGAGAGTACAGAACACAAAACAGATGCTTATTCTTGATACACTATACGGGTTTCATGGTGTCCAACCGATGAAAGTCATGAAACCAAAACAGGTTCAAATGCATGTTTATAATATCCAAAGGGGGTGACAAAAAAATTGAAATTCTTTGGCAAGATCAATATGAGAAGTGACCAAAGTCCTCAACAATAACATAGGTCACAGAAAGAAATAACATTTGAAACAAAGACAAAAACTTCACCGATCTGATTCTGCTGGGTCATAAAACCGTGCTAGAATTCATGGGATTTTGATCATCGTTACAATCATTTGAACTGAATCCCAATCTTAGAACATCATGCATTAAACCAAGAAGATCAATCCCAAATCAGCATAGGCCATAAGTGAAAAGAGTATCAAAAAGCAGAATTCCGTCAAGAGTCAAATGCAGATCTAGCGATTTCCATCATCGTGAGTAACGAGAGAGATTTTATCTCGGGAACGAATAAGGAAACACAGATAAATTCAGAGAAGGGATAGATCTTACAGAGAACTCTTCGGCCATGTCTGCGTTTCGGAGCTCCGAGAGATCAGCACCAGTCGCCGGAGAATATATCGGAGACAGTTGCCAAGACTAAATTTTTTTCTGAGAAGACTCAGCAAATAAATAATACCACCGCTGGTCCACGGGTTTAGTCTGCAAAATATAAAATTAGAGGCAAATTTTTCTATTATTTTTAGTTTTAGCTCGCATTAAACTTCATGAATCAATTTAGACCCCGCTTGCTAAACAAATATTCCCTATTTTTCTTTCCAACATTATTAACACATATTATACCATTCATCTTACATGTTTTGCCAAAATTTATACAGGTCCGAAAATAGGAAACTTTTGGCTCGCGCAATTTTTTGGGTCAATGTGATAGAAACAAAAGTAAGGGTGGTTTACTCATAAATATTCTTCCAGGCTGTAAATTTTCTTTCAGGCCCTTTCGTTCGTCGCCGAACCACTTCTCCAGCATTCGGGCACAAACAGAAAGAGATTCAAATTTCACAAACTAAAAGTCTTCTTCTTCCTCTTCGAATCGGAGATTCTCTCCTTTAGATCCGGAAGTTTCTGTTAGCAGAATCGGAAGAAGATGACTGTGATCGACATTCTGACTAGAGTTGACTCGATCTGTAAGAAGTACGACAAGTACGATGTCGACAAACAGCGGGAGGCCAATATCTCCGGTGATGATGCGTTTGCTCGCCTCTATGGCGCTTTTGAGACCCAAATCGAGACTGCTCTCGAGGTGATCACTCCTCCTTTTCTGTTTGCATCTTGGAGATTTTGCTTAATTCGATTTGGTTCCGATAAATCTCGGTGGATTCAAAGCTGTGTACTTGACAATGCTGGGCATAGAATTTGATATTTTTTCGGTTGAATTCAGTGATAATCTAAAATTTAGGTCCCGATTTTGTGTACAATGACCAAAAAGTTTTTGAATGCCTTATCTTATTTATGCTCTCTGTGTATTCTGGGTTGGTGCTAATTTAAGTATGATTTGCGAATGCTTTTTAAAGGTTCTCTTTGAAACGTTGAATGATTTTTGTCATGTAATTTCGATTGCAGAAAGCTGAACTTGTTACAAAGGAGAAGAATAGGGCTTCTGCTGTTGCAATGAATGCTGAGATCCGCCGGACCAAAGCTCGATTGTCCGAGGAAGTTCCTAAGCTGCAGAGACTTGCTGTCAAGCGGGTTAGCTTCCTTTCTCATGTTTTTAGGATGAATATAGGTAAAGTGTGAGTGGATGCCAAAAAATCTTGTAATTATGGCTGAAAATCTGCTTACACTGGCTGAGAAATACAGAATGGTAGTTATTCCTGTGGGTTTTAGAGTTGACCAAGCTAGTATATGTTGTGAACTTGTGATAATAACCACGGTCGGAGGGTAGTACATAGGCTAAGATTGACTAAATCATGTTTGAAGAATTATGTAAACTCGGTGGCAATCTATACATTGTTCAGGTTAAAGGCCTTACAACCGAAGAGCTTGCGGCGAGAAATGATTTGGTGCTTGCACTTCCGGCCAGGATTGAAGCCATTCCTGATGGGACAGCAGGTGGTCCTAAAAGCACTAGTGCTTGGGCTCCCTCAACAACATCTCGTCCTGATATCAAATTTGATTCAGGTGATTCAACTGAATTAGCTTTGTTTATAACTTGTAGATTGTACTTCAACTAGTGCATGAGCTTGTTCCGTATTGTATAGTTCTGTTTATCTCAGAATCATATGAACTGTTTATCCTATTTTCTGTCGTTTGAGCAACCTGAAGGTTCAAGATCACTTAGTCACTTCTATTTTGGATGTTAGATGGGCGTTTTGATGATGATTACTTTCAAGAATCACATGAGTCCAGTCAATTCAGGCAGGAGTATGAGATGCGGAAAATGAAGCAGGCAAGTGATATTCTATCTGGTTGCATCCTACTCTTTTGTTCACTTAAACTCTGGTGGTATGTATATGACTCGTCTACTTGAGTATATATCAGGAACAAGGTCTGGACATGATCTCTGAAGGTTTAGATGCTTTGAAGAACATGGCGTCTGATATGAACGAGGTGTGTTTGTTAAAGTGCAGCTTTTAACCCACTTCCCTTATTAAGTACTTGAGCTAATGATCCATGTCACAACACTGATTCGTGCAGGAACTGGATAGGCAAGTTCCTCTGATGGATGAAATCGACACAAAGGTAGCAGACACCGCCCATTTCCTTGTTCTTCTTTTTTTGAATTTCGTCAGTTGTAATCTTAACTTTCTGAGCTCGCTCACAGGTGGACAGAGCAACCTCGGATCTAAAGAACACCAATGTTAGACTTAAAGATACCGTCAACCAGGTGATTTGAATTTCGAGACTTCTTTTCCTCAAATTCTCAAACCAAATCGGCCTGTTGTTGATTCCTAACATAAAAAAGCGTGGCCTTTCTGTTGCAGCTGAGATCAAGCCGGAACTTCTGCATCGATATTGTTTTGCTGTGTATTGTCCTGGGTATCGCTGCCTACTTGTACAAGTAAGTTTTTCTCATACATAAAAGATGCATCAGATACAGTGAAAGAAAAGCTTTTTAAACGAAACAAACGTTTGTCTTCTGCAGCGTACTGAAGTGATGAGATGAACACCAAAGGACCCATCAGTACTCTCTCTCTCTCGCTATTGCTCTCTGCTATTACTGCGTTTTACCCGAGTCAGTGTGTGTGCTTGTTTGTTGCTGTATTTGTGTGATCAGTTTACTGAGAGTTTCTTCGAACTGTTGATCTTTCTTCCTGCATTGAGTTATTTTCATGTTGTTCGTGTCCATTCATGGTGAATATATCTTATATTAAAATTACAAAATTTATGTCTCCTGTCGATATGCTGTCAAGCGAGTCTACCTTGTGTAGTGGAGGAATGTGGGAAAATACCACAATGAGAAAATAAAATTGGGAAAATGACATTTTGTTAATTCTCTTTTTCAAAAGTGTTTTCCCAAGAACTTTGATGTAAAAAAAATCACTAGAAAGTGTCATATACAACCCAAGGATTAGTACAAGATTCTTGGAATTTCAAGAGCTGCAGCAAAAATTCCTTTTTACTTATTTTTGTACAATCAAGTAGGACGAAAAAAATAGCCCTTCTAGAACACTAATAATACACTCTCACATTCACAAACAAAAACACAGAAACCTTTATGCTCATAACTAAATCCACATGACCAATCTATTTTAACGTCTCTAAATAGATGGATCTCCCTCCATCCAGATATCCCGTAAACTCGGTCTGAAATGGTTTGATTTGTTACCACACATTGCTACTGGAACATATAATCAGCATTCAGAAGCTCTGCCTTCAGTTTCATGATCCAGGCATGCTTTGATCTGCTGTCTGAACTGGTAGTGGTGGATCCACCTGACTACTGCTTGGAGGTTCAGGTGTCCTATGCCTTCTCCTCCATTTTGAAAACTCGACTAGACCCGTTGTGCCGCTCATGGTCAGTCCGAACCCTACCAATGTGGCTAAGAGAATGGACACAACCGGCTGCATACGAACCTGCACAAGTAAGCCATCATAGATAAGAAGATAGAACAAGAAGCAGAGTGTCCTGTTCTGTTCTCGAGAGATAAAAACTCTCACCAATGAAAAGAAAAAGTGAGCGAAAACAACTACAAGACCGAACTGAACTGTGGCGTAAATCCAGACATATTGCTTTTTCACTGCATAACAATGAACACGAGATCAGTTAAACTGATCATCTGAGTACCGAAATGAACTGTTGGGAATTTCTATGTCAAACTGTTTACTGTTAGGAACTCTTACCCATTGTTGTCGACGTCATGGAGGCAAGAAGACCAAGAACGCAAGAGAATGGTAAAGATATTGCGATGGCGCCGGATTTCATTTTCGTAAGCTGCAAATGATATTAGGACAAGAAGATATTACAAAAGCTTGGTTACAGAGAAGCAATGAATCAGAAATTCACTAAATCTTACCAGAAGCTGCTCGAGGAAACAGAAGTATGCAAGCATGCTTACAATGACAAGAATTGGAACATCTTGCCATACGCTGAAAGGACGAGGATACTGGTCAATAATATCCATAAAAATCGATTTCTTTTTTCCAAGGGGTATTGTTTGGATTTTGGACTTGCCTGTAGTGAGAAGACTCCGTATCCGCAGCCCCATTACCCTGCGAGTTCTGCATGCGAAGAAGGGTCACAGGGAGATTTTGAACCTCTTGCTTGCACACATCACATGTTCGGTTTCCTTTAATGGTGAACCATTTGATTGTACATTCTTTGTGGGCAAGAGCTAATTCACCTCTACACATACATTCCATCTTGAAGGCTTCTGAATCTTCTCCCAATTCGACCAGGCAGATTCTGCACACAGCTTCTTCTTCAGGAACATCTTCTCCGCCATCAACATTCGTGTCTGAAACATTTCACTAATATAAGGCACCGGGTTTGTTACACGGATAGAACCAAACAATTCCCCAAAAAAAACATCAAACTTTCATGTCTGTTGGTTTTAAACATCAGATGAAAAGAATACAAACCATTAAGTTTAATAATATTTCTGGTTGGCGTCATGTTCGGAGTAGGAATCACCCGGAAAACACCAGATTGCCTTAGACTTCCATCTTTGTTGAATGCCGGGACAGAACGTGAACGGTGAATAGGCAGTGGAGGCCCTTTTTTCTGTTGAGGCAATAAAATCTGGTCAAACCAACAATGAAGTAACGCAAAAGATAAGCTGATTAGCTTATCTTACAAGCAAAATGCATTACTTAAACATACTCTAGAGACCAAGGCATAGTACAAGACAAGAAAACGTCTCTCGCCAATGAGATGACAGCACAAACCACAGTTGAATTCTAACAATTAAGTTACTCACCATGGTAGTAACTGGATCAAGCACATATCTCCCGTGCATGGACTCAGGATTTGAGTGAGCTATAGGGGTTACCGGCAAGGACTCAGTTTTCTTCAACCTTGGAGTTAAAATATTAGTGAGAGTCCATGTGGACCTGTCCCTGCAATTTCCTGAAGAAGGAGAGGACGCAAAGACCAAATCACCACCTTTCTCGATATCCACGTTATTGTTATTGCTGCTCCGGTTTTTGAAGCTTAACTTTGGGATTAGATTCTTCAGGCTGTTTCTTGAAGAGGACGAGGAAGGACTCAGGGATGCACCACGTTGCCCGAATCTAGGGCTGGACATTGGAGAAAAGTTGACTTTTTTGGCAACAGGGCTTGATGTTAGGGTTGCATTTCGTCTCAACAGATCCTCATCTCCTGTATCTTCTGGTGTTCTTGATGATAAATCTAACACAATGCCTCGCCTCCACAGGTCTCGGCCCGGTGATAGCTCTTCTTCTGCAATCTCAGTAGAATCTACATCCTGCAACACCAAAATCATTTCAAATCAGTATCATTTTCTCCATTCGATTCAAACAACAGAAAGCCTACTCTTTCATATAACAGACTCCAAAACTATCTTATTTAAGTATGAATTCCAGATATTTGCAGCTATCTCGTGAGGAAAAATACAGAAAACTCTACACGGGAAGAAGAGAACAAGATAAAGTCCATGGCTTACGATCCAATGCTTAGCAGAAAAACAAAAGATCCACTAAACCCTAAACCCTGAAAGCAGGGAGATTGATGAAATTATCAACGTACCCATCAAATCAAAACCACCAGACCAAAAAAAAATCAAACAATTTAGAATGAACAAAAATAAAATGGAAATGAATGAAAAAGAGCTGGAAAAATCTACCCTTTGCAGTGGAGAATTAACATCTTGGAGAGACCCATGTTGTTCTTCGCGAGCTTTATCTCTACCATCCATAATCGAGCTAAAAAATACGAAACCCAGGAAAAAGAAAAGCAGAGAAGAATCTAACAAAATGATCAAAATCAGAAAATTAATTTTGCCAGGAGAAAAGTGTAGCCAAGGATCATCAGGAACCCTTTTTCGAGGTAAAGATGAGTCCTCTTTTCTGGGTTCCTGAAACTGAATATGTGATCATACATTTCATTCATTTCAGATGATATATCACTGTCCGTTTCTCGGCTTAAAAGGTTAAATTTGGTCCGGCTCTTTTTTTTTTTTCTTTGTCCTTGTTCCCCATTGTATTTTATGTTATAGTTAATCGGGATTAAGGCATACTGGTAAGTTTGTAACTCTGTATACTTTTTGTCTATTTTGGTTGATATTTTTACACATATTGAAGCATCTTAATTAACTGTATTAAAACCAGATATTTAATATAATTCAGTTCAACTATTTGAGCTTACGTTATTTAGCAAATTAGGTAATATTCTTGATCAAATAATTAGATAGGTAATTTTAAGTTTTTAACAGTATATGATTCAAATTCCTATTCACATGTGGTTGACAATTTATTTTTTTCCTCATTGCCAATTTTTTTATGATAGAATTTTTTTAATCATATATCTACAAATAATACACAATGGTCTATCTCAAAATTCATATATCTTAACCTTAAAATTAAAAGGATATGCAAAACGAATAATAGACAAAAAGAAAGCATACACATGTAATTTAATTTTGTCTTAAAAAAGGCGTGGACTAAAGAAAGACATAGGCCACAAATTAATACTGTAAATATATAAATTTTCTAAATTTGTGGGTGGTAAAAAGATAGTGAAAGTTTTCTTATTTTCAATCTAATGAGAGATTGAGAGGAGAGCTACTTTGTGAAATGACAGATCAAGATCAACATGACGGATAAAAACCGGTCGAAAGTCCAATCATCTTGTCCAGTTCTTTGATATTTTTGTTTAGGTTCTACTTTTCTAGTAAAGTTACAAAATAAATTAGGTTCAAACAAAAAAAAAAAGTTACAAAATATAGATATCCATACACATGTCCTCGTAAAATATTTTTGTGTGACATCACATTTGGTACAAAGATATTGAAACATGATTAACTTGATGGATTACTCGTGTTAATTTTGTGTTCAAGATGTAATCGAGTATATTCGTTTTCCTACAGCCAGTATGATTGTGTTAAAATCTCTTTCAGTTCCTACCTATCATCTAATGTAGTAATCCATGAAATTGAAAACATTTCTTAGTTTGTTGTTATGGCCATATCATGGGACACCATTTCCATTTGTCTGATCTTAAAGTATCTTTTGAGCACATGGTCGTTCCATATTTGATCCGATCTAGTATTATTTTATTTATGAGTAAAATTGTTTATTTATTTACATTTTGTCAACTGTATGTGTAGATCAAATTTATCAATTATCAATATTTGTCTCTCCGCTCTCTCGAGACAATGGAAAAGGATACAACCTCCGACCTTATTTGATAGCCAAGTCTAGTCTATATCAAATAACACGAAAAGTCAACCAAACAAACAAGTATATATAGAAAATCTTGAATTATACAAAATAAAGGATTTAGCTAGTATACTGAAGACACGTGGCGAAACTTATGGCGGCAGAGGCTGAACCTTCGCATCTGCGTCACATGCAGAGGAAACGAAACCTTAAAGTTCGCTTCACACTCATGTCTCAACAATCTTCAAACTTTTTTAAAGATGGATCTTTCCCATTTTCACTCTCGCCTCATCTTCACCCTCAGGAAAAATGCCCAGCGAAAGTCCAGCAAAAGTCCCGGAATTGGATGTAGTTCTCTATTCAAGAGCATGTAATGTAATCACACCAGGTAGCTTTTGCAGGTAGGTGTGTTTCTACTGATGTTATTGTTCCTAATTAAGTTTATTCAAGGATTGTGAATGCATATATGAATTCGAAATATCTATATAATACAAATTGGCAATCACACGTTTCATTGTTAACATAATAAGGATCAAACATGCATATATACTGCATATATACTAATATATCGATGCTAGGTCGATGGAAAGCTAATCCCCTCGATCCACACTCAGCTTGTATTTAGCTACTCTTATTCAGCTGTTCCTCCTTGTGCAGTATTGTTCCCGCTTCCGCTATTGCCGTGAACTTTTATCTCCAAAAGCCTTTCCACAGGTTGTCTGCATATCGGGCATCGATTTGTCTGAAACCTTAGCACCTTAGCGCATCCGCTGCACATACACTGCATTAAAAAAAGCAAACAATTTTCACATGAGTACATTCCATTCATTACACAAGAGGAACCATATCATCAGCATTATAAAAAAAGAAACATGAACTTACCATGTGTCGACATGGAAGAACAGTAGTGTCTCGTGGTTCAGACAAACATATAACGCATTCTTTCCCTGGATCATTAGCATCGTCAGCTGAATCCTCATCGCCATCAACTGTATTCCCAATTCCATAGATCTCTTGCAACTCGTATCTCAGTCCATTGACCCATAGTATTTGCTTCACCACTCTTATCTTAATCTCTCCTTTATCCTTCTCATAAACCGCTTGAGTAATCTGCGCATTGTTCGATCCCGACCTTTCTTCTTTACCATCACCTGAAGGAAATGCTTCTGCCTTAACAGCCAACGGATAGATATCTGTGTCTGCCTCCTTGAACAGCTCAGAGTCTTCAAAGACCGAAAAATCTACACCCGAACCAGAAGGTTGCTTAAACTTCTGACCAAGCCCTTTCTCAAAATCCATGGTGATTGGTGGCAGAATATCTTCCTTTGTGGCTGTGAGATTGCAATCTTCGGATTCTTTAGCAAAGAAGATGACTGTAATCCTGTTTTCCACCAAATTAACCAAAAGCTTAGTCATTTACAGACCAAAGTAAGAAAAGCTTGGTCATTTACATACCAAAGTAACAAAAGCTTAGTCATTTACAGATGTAGATTTGATCAAAGTCTATTTTTTCATTGGCAAAATCAAATGTTTATTAAACAAATCAAACAAGTAAAATTTTAACAAGAAGGCCATAATAAATTTCAGCTGTGGTCACGAAGAAGACCGTAACAGTTTCACGTGTTTCGGCTCTGTTTATTCTTTGTCAAATCAATCACGAAATCAACGAAAAGGAGAAATTGAAAGGGCCTACCTTCCGGAAATGGTAGCATCAAACGTGAAGGAGACGAGAAACCGACCCGGAGAATTGGGGTCGGATTCAAGCTTCAAAGTCTCCTTCTTGAGATTAACGTCGTTACGAATGGTGACGGCTTTCTGATGTTCGACAAAAGGAGTCTCCCCAGGCATCATGGGGGCACAATAAGGGTATCTCCCACCGGCGGTCCAAGGGTGAGGGTTGTGATAAGGATGCGGCGGAGGAGGAGGATAGTGAGGATGATGAAGGTGGTGGTGGTCGTACGGCGACGGAAGAGGAACCGGCATGGTTCCCGGCGGAGGAGGGTAGTAACCAGGGTACTGGTAATGCTGATTTGGGTTTGGGTTTGGGTACGGTGTAGCGGCGGCGAATACGATGCGATTAGCTGGGATTTCTGTCGCCGGAGGAGGTGGTGGTGGAGGAAGAGAAGGAGGTGGTGGAGCCGCCGTTGGAAGCGTATTACTCCGCCGTCTACGGCGTCTACCGGCGCCTCCGCTGCTGCTGATGTTTCCCATAAATCAAGAATGAAAAAGACGCGATTTTGTGGCGAACCAGATGATCAAATCTCAGGAAGATTTTTGTTTTGGTGGGTGGATCGGAGATCCGGGGTTTATCAGAGTGAAATGTAAGGAATTAAAAAGCAAAAGCAGAGAGATTTTTGAAGAATTAAGAAAGAAAGAGAGAATAAAAAACAAATTAAAGGAAAAAAAAGAGAGAGAGATAAGAGAGAATATTAATAATTTGGGGGAAAGTAGGTAAATAAGATGATGATGATGGGGTCGGTTGGCCAAAGAAACTCCACCCATGAACACCCTTTTGATGGTCTTTTATGTTACCAATTATTTTTCTCAGGATTTTTCTTTTCTTTTTTTATTCATTGTTTGTTAGTGTTTACGTTGATTATAGTAAGACTTTAGGCGTTAATGTGTTTATCTTTTGTACTTTCAATTAAGAAAAACATTACCATTAATTATAGATAGATTATTATTAGTCATTCTTTTGCTTGCGTAACAAAATCATATATATATATATATATATATATATATTCTTTGGTTGCATTACCATTAGGTCCATCCATTACGTATAAATTTGGATTAGTTTGTTCATTTTTATCTGTCCCAAATTATAAATAAAAAATAAAAATTTGTTCATTTTTAACTTTTTTCCTTCAGACTTTTAAGGTTCAAACTTCAAATGTAAAAATTAGACCTCATAACTTTTTTCGTTAATTGAATCAAGAAAAGTTTAACATAGTAGCAAAAAACAAAAAGAACAATAATAATGATGATAAATCTAAGTGTTCACATACCATCCAACTCCAACCAATACCATAACTATTTTTATACTAATTTTTTGCAAATGTATATTACAAGTTTTTTTTCCCCGATTATGTGAAGCTATGTGTTGTGCAGATATCTTACGAGTTAAGCAGTTATCATTATCCCTACCTTTTAACAAAAAAACAAAGAGCAGTTATCATTGCATAGTTGCATGATTGAGTTATTTTTGTTTTGTCCATGAATTCTAGACATTGTCAACTTACCCTTCTAGATCATATTGCTTAAATTTTATAGCAATCAATTAGTTTTCCGTAAGTTTAATATTATTTTCAAGGTTATAATTATATTACTCCTTCTTCTTCTTTTTTGCTACACGATATACTAATATTATTTTTTGCCAACATAATATCCTTTTTTAGTCCGAAAGATGAACTAATGTTTTGGAACTCATCTCAAAAGTTTTTTTGTTTTCTTTGAATAAAAATTGTGTATACTGCTTTAACAAAACAAAACCAGAAAAAAGCCAAACTGGTGTATACGTCGATTTCCTAAAACAGAAGTAAAATCTATTTAAAATCAACAAATTTTAAAACTAAAACCATATGCTAAAATTAGGATATGAATCACCCATTAGCTAAAAAACCTCACACAAAAACTAAAAAAATACAAATAAACTAAGTATTTTACAGAAAGACCAAGATAATTTTAACTGCGGGACCACGAAATTTTTAGTTATGGGATGCTTGATTATTACGTGAATTGCATGTTGATAACTATCAATTATGATTAAAATTTTAAACAAAAAGGTTCAATTTATAATCTGTATATCATTTTAAAACATTTCCACATAAAGATAGTGCGATTCGAAAACAAAAATAGAGAAAATAAAGAAAGGGATATCGAATCGCATACCTACCCACTCGCACACACTTTCATTAAGCAATTCCCAAATATGAATATATATCATATAATAAAAGTGTTGCTATAGGGAAAAATATAGTATAAGTTATTATAAAATATAGAGTGGTGATCCGGAGATGCAATAAGCTGTGCATGTAAAACCTTTTTTTGAACTACTTGTGAATGCAAATCTATTATATTGAATAATAATCAACCCTACGATATGTATATATATCTCTACATACTGATAAATTAAATTTGTCTATGAGGGTAATTCTCTGTTGATCCATGCCTTTTTTCTTTGAATTTAATTTGCAGAATAACATCTTCTTGGAACAATAATGAAATGTACAATAAATCAGGAAAAAATAAGGGTTAAATATAAACACGTAAAGTGGTATTAGCCTCATTAATAAAGCTAGCCTAAACCTCTGGTTATTCTAAGATATATGAACCAGATCAGATGGAGGTAGTTACTCTTAAGCGATACTTATAGAGATGGATTAATTAACAAGTATGACCTATGCCACCGTCTTGATTTTAATTTTATTTTATTCTATCGGCTTGAATTTTTTTTGTGGCCCTAGCCGATAGCATGATCTGAACTGAAGTCCTCAGCTAGGTGTCACGTGCTATCCATGAATCTATATGAAGCCAAACGCTATTCATTTACTCCGTTTTGTCGTTTACTGAGAGGTCATTTGTTACCCTAACATTATTAGTATTTGAGTGGATGATTCAATTATTGGATCTTAATAAAACCTGTGTGGTTCGAAACGAAGAATAGGGGGCTGTGCACTTTGCGTAAGAACCCAAAAGACCCATGGTTTTCAATTTTGTAGAGTAAGAGCATCAGCATCTCTTAGCAAATATTAGGCACATAAATCTAGATATTTCCCCTAAATTTGGATGGATCACTCTTTATATAAGAGATAAAGAGACGGTCTCTTATGCCAGGTGGAGAGCTATGATTGGCTGAAAATTATTCTTTTTTTTAATGTTTTATTTTTGTTTTCTATCTTTAAAAAAAATTAAATTATTCCTAAAAAACCCATGAGTTGGATTACACTGATGGAGATGCTCTAAAGGATCAAAAAACTTTAGTTTTACAAACTAAGAAAAACTGTGATTTCCAAAATAAAAAAGCATATAGATCCCCAACATCAAATTAAACATTTTGATTTTAATTTACAGTAACAGTAATAGATATGGGACTTTCGTAGTTGGCAAACTATTTGCAATTGTGCATGAATTATCAATTAGCTAAATGCCTGTTAATATATGGTTAGATACAAACACTACATATATGATATATAGAAGAAAGATGTTTATGTAACACTACTACACTACATAGTAGAAAATAGTGTGCATGAAATAATTAGCAAAATGTTTGCTAAGAAATTGTAAAATACAATCACTACACATGAAAAGGAGATGTTCATAGACTATCCTTCTCCTTATTCAAAACAGCTATAAGATAGAAGTCTAACCATAAATATAAAATGAATTGAATTACCAGCTTCTTTAGTTTCAAAGATTCACAAAGTAAATTTTAGAAAATTTTAGAAAAGTGTAATTAATCATGTAGGAAATAACACCTTTGCATATTTCACAACAAATCAAAAATTAAAGAATAAATAACACTCACATAAAAGGAAAATTAAAAAAAAAAAGAAAAAATAACTAGAAGATCAGTCAATCTCTCGCGACCTGTTCCAACAAGTTCACAAGTTCCGACATCGTTGGTCGTTGACTAGGATCCTCCCGCACACACAATTCCGCCACGTCAGCAAATTTCAACAACGGCTCCACATTTCTCGGCAACGCAATATACTTATCCAAAATTGCCGCCGCTTTGCCTTCTCTGATCACCGGAACCGTCCATTCAACAATCTCCGGCGGATCATAATCCCTATCGTAACGCTTCCTCCCGGTTAAAATCTCCAACAACACAACCCCAAAGTCGTAAACATCTCTTTTGACATCCAAATTCTTCTCGTTCGACGACGTCACGAGCCCGAAATCCGCAACTCTCGCGACCCAGTCCGAGTCCAAAAGCACATTCGAAGACTTCATATCCCCATGAACAATCCTCGGGTCAGCTTCGACGTGAAGGTATTCAAGACCTTTTGCGGTTTGCATAGCGATTTTAACCCGTAAGCTCCAACTCAACGGCGAAAACCCTCCGTGTAGATGATCGTGAAGCGTACCGTGAGGCATGTACTCGTAAACAAGAAGCCTCTCTCCCATTTCGGTAGAGTAACCGAGTAGGTTCACAATGTTGCAATGCCTAATGTTGCAGAGAATCTCTAATTCCGTCTCGAATTCTCTAGTGTTTGTGTGAATTATCGTCGCTGCGTTTGCTCTCTTAACCGCTACTTGCCTTCCGTCCGCTAACACGGCTTTGTAGACAAACCCGTAGCTTCCTCTGCCTAACTCGTTGAACTCTTTAAACCCGTTTGTTGCGTCTTTAAGCTCAGAGAGTCTAAACACTTGAGCGAAAGGCGTTACCGATGGAGCAGGGGAGATCATTTCAAGTGGCTCGGTGTCCAAATCCACCTTTCCTATGCAAGATTTGAATTGACTCGTTGTACCTTCTTCTTTGTTAGGACTAGTGACAATCCGTGGCACGACGCAGCAACCGATCGTGATGATCAACAGAGCCGATGCGCAAGAGCCGATGATGAGAGCAAGTCTTTGTAGTTGATGCCAATGCTTATCCGGATAACTGTGGTTGTGAAGCTTACAAATATCAGAACAAGAACTGTTTTGACAGAGCGAGCAAGGCGTGCAGATCCGATCCGAGTTCTCGGTGCACGAGCTAGACAAGAAGAATCCATGAGAGCAATCCGAGCCGCAAGGTAAACAGACCATTAACTCTTTTCTTACACACAAACTCGTTAGGTCAGGTTCGTTGAGGATACTTGCGTTGAAAGCAAACTCTTTTTCGTTACATGGACCAGCCCGACACATCCCTGGACTACACAGCTCTAATGGAGGATCATATGCTAATGTTGATGAGCCGTTAACCAACCAGCAATCAAGAACAAGATCCTCTTCTCTTATACCACAAACGATGAAATCAGACGAAGCAATTGCCTTAAATCCAGAACCTTTTGGAATCAACGAGAAATTAGAGTTTCCCCAACACTCGACCTCGTGATTATCCTCACGGATTCCGCAGAAATGTCGAGGACCTGCGGTTAAAGCAACGAATCGAGAATCATCACTCGGTGAATTGACGAAAGATTCATCGTCTCCCCAACATTTGACCTCCCGAGACGAGTTTAGAATCGCGCAGAGAGAGTTTTTCCCGGCGGCTAAGACTTGGAAGTTTTCCGAAGTTGTGTTGAGCCCTAAAGTAGAAGAATTGGGGCCAAAACAGAGCAGCCCACCTTCTCTGATCCCACCACAGCTAAACCCATCACCAGAGACGATCTTGTTGAAGACGAGATTACTAACAATCTGATCATAGAACTTTGGATTCTCTTTGGCGATCAAGCTGTTATTCGTAGCTCTCGTAATCTCCCAACAATCGACGGTCCCGGAATCGTGATCGGAATAGTAAGCTCCTCGAACTGCACAGACATGGCTGTTTCCAGCAGCGATCTGAGAGTAAGCAGTAGTCCGGTAAGCGAGAGGGACAAGATCCATACCTGAAGATGATCCAAGGGAACTGAAACAGAATGCTTGAGATGTGTTCGACAAAATGCCGCAGAGAAACCCGTTCCCACCTGAGAGAAGCGCCATGGACGGAATGTTGTAACTTTGGGAAGTGGAAGAAGCAAGTGATAAAGAAGAAGAAGAAGAGGAGGAAGAGGAAGAAGAAGAAGGAGAAGAATAGTTTTTGCCCCAGCAAATAACCTCTTGGCGACCACTAGCGTCAATGGCGCAGAAGAAAGCAGAGCCGCCGAAAGCCGCCGCAATAGAGCCGGAGGATCCAAAACCGGAACCGGGTTTGGATAAAAACGGAAGAAGGAGGGAGAGGAAGAGGAGAAAGAAATGGGTTTCCATTGGAGGTGAAGTTGATGAACTGAAGGAGAAGATTGACATAAGCTGCCATTTGACGACAGTGAGAGTGGTGATGCCTGACGAACAGAGAACGTGGGTGGCGTCCTAATGGCAAAGAGAAATACAAATTAAAGTATATCTCTTTTCTTTTTTTTTTATATATATTGGATTCGCTGGATCTTGTCCTCTAGTATACAAATACAAATACAAATACAAATTAAAGAGAAATACAAATTAAACACATACATGCATGTATATCTCTATGTAGTCCTCCACAGACAAAATACTAACTTATAACATTTAGAATTTTATCCAAGATCATGTATTAATAATTTCATGAATATCATTATTTTTAATATTCAAACTAGTTTGTGTAAAAATATGTCTGTAGAAATTATCGAGCAAATGATGTTAGTCTAAGCAGACCAAGCCTGGTAACTAAAGATTTCGAAACAATATATTTTTGTTTTTGTAAAAATTTCAAAACAATATTTCTGACGTGTATATTACTGGTATAAAAAAAAGAGGCTCTGTAGTTTTTATTCATAATACCGAAACAAAAAAATATTGCCAACAAGAGAAAAATCTAATGAATTGTGCCTCAAGGGGACAGCAAGATCTAATTCTCGGTGATTCCATGTCATCCCTTTTTTGGAACTTTTTTTTCTTTCTTTGGGAGCTTTTTTTTTTGTCGACGGGAGGTTTTAAAACAAAAGAAAAAACTTTTGTTGGATCTCACTGTCATTGTCAGTATATAATTTATACAGTATATTATATATATGCGGAAAATATAAGTGGTTCCAAAAATAAAGTTTGAGTCAATAAAATTTGCCAAGCAAAGACTGAAATTTAAAATTATTGAGCAAATGATGTGTGGGGTTATATGTTCGGCGTTTTTAGTGCATATAATTCCAAAAAACCTGCCTCGGTGTTATAAACGCAACGACGATCCTTTTCTGATCCTAAATGTTTTCTAGTCTATTTGACCAGCATTACTTTTATTCATTATTTACGCTTTTGCCTCCCTTATTTTGAAATTTTGCAATTCAACCTGTTGTTATTTGTTAACACTTGATAAGTTTGTGCGTCATAAGATCCCAACTCTAAAATTGATTATGATTTAGTATAAGACTTTGAAGTCGAAGAGTAAAAGCCCATTTACGAGCCCATCGAAATTCCGACATTACTGGAAAAAAAAAAAACTGGAAAAAAAAGCAAAGCATGAAAAGACTTAAGTGATCAGCATTAACCGCCAAAGTTCTTGTTCAGAAGCTTCCACCGCGGAGACGTAGAACAAGGTGAAGAGTTGACTCTTTCTGAATGTTGTAGTCAGCTAAAGTCCGACCATCCTCGAGCTGCTTCCCGGCAAAGATTAGCCTCTGCTGGTCCGGTTGGATCCCTTCTTTGTCTTGAATTTTTGCCTTCACATTGTCAATGGTGTCTGAGCTCTCAACTTCTAGGGTAATGGTTTTACCGGTAAGAGTCTTGACGAATATCTGCATACCACCTCTTAACCTGAGAACCAAGTGGAGAGTTGACTCTTTTTGGATACTGTAATCAGCCAGAGTACGGCCATCCTCGAGCTGCTTCCCGGCAAAAATAAGTCTTTGCTGGTCAGGAGGAATACCTTCTTTATCTTGGATCTTGGCCTTGACATTGTCAATGATGTCTGAGCTTTCAACCTCAAGGGTTATGGTCTTGCCAGTAAGAGTCTTTACAAAGATTTGCATACCACCTCTCAACCTGAGAACCAAGTGGAGGGTAGACTCTCTTTGGATATCGTAATCAGCCAAAGTACGGCCATCCTCTAGCTGTTTACCGGAAAAGATGAGCCTTTGTTGGTCCAGAGGAATTCCTTCTTTCTCCTGTATCTTTGCCTTGACTTTATCGATTGTGTCTGAGCTTTCAACGTCAAGGGTTATGGTTTTTTCTTGAAGAGTCTTTGCGTAGATTTGCATCACCATCTGTATTTCGTTAGCACACAGCAACAACATTACATTACAAAACTAGAGAGCCACAATGACATTAGTTCATTGAGCACAACAAAACAGTCTTTGAAAGCAACCATCAAAACGACCGAGAGCTAGCTATTTCAACAAGAGAAAATACATCCTTACATAAAGCTCAGGCTAGTTTTTAGTTTGGGTTGATGAGGAATAAAGAATCACGAAACTCGGAATATATCTATATCCTTAACCAAAGCTCCCTACTTAGAATAAAAAAACCCTAATTTCAATCCAAGCAAGAAAGAGTCCAATTCAGAGCGAGCGAGTATCTTAAAACGTACAATTCTAACTAAACAAAAAAAAAAAATCGAGCGGAAACCTGTGAAAACCAGCAAAAGATGAAAATCGCAATTATAGAAAAACAGTCAACGGATGATTCATCGGAGAAGATATACCTTGACAGAGTATAATTCAGAAAAGTTTAGCGGAGCTTAGGGTTTGCGAATTGCGAGAGAGAAGAATTGAATTGAATTGAATTACGAGGGGAGTAAGGTCTCTCCTTATATAGCGGCGAAGGAAAAATAAAAAATCTTTAGTTGAATGGAAAATCTGCGGTTGATTTAAATATAAAAAAAAAGGAAAAGAAAAAAAAAGAGGGAAAGTTCTGCTAAACGATTGGGCCGTGACCGACTCTATGAGAACCAGAAGGTTCTATGGACAATATAAGTAACCCCAACTTTGATCGATACCGAATCAAGTTTACATAATTGTACTATGTTTTATAAGAAAAAACTATACGTATTCTATAACTAACACTGATTATTTATTTTAGTTATTTTGACGAAACCAAACAATCTCGACTCTAATTGTAGTAAAACTTCAAAACTTGCATAAGATTCAAAATTTCCATAAGAGTGACGAAAGAATTGTCTCCAAATTTTTTTTTTTTATAAAACCAATTAGGCCCCATTTTTGTTTTTGTTTCAAGCCCCTAAAATCTCAGATCCGGCCCATAAACTACCCAACTCTATAAAGTTTAGAGTAAGTCGCAAGTGTTTGAATTATTAGAGACTTTCACACGTTATTAAAACCGCAAGACAAATCTCTTCCATAGAGGCTGGGAGTCCATTCTATTATGTGTTTGCTTGAGGAGACTCATGTGAGCAGACTTCTTGCCAGATGCTCCCGGGCTGTTGCTAGTGCTTGAGTTAATGTCTACATTTCCAAGATGTAAACCAAATTAAGAATGACCGTGTTTCGGTTTACCCAAACCAAAACAAAATCAAAGACTATATACATTGCTTTCTTTAAAGGAAGATGTAATAATACTCATATTGCCATCACCTGTTCAGAGAGTGAACCACTTGCTTCTGTGCTCTGCATTGCTACTTTTCCCGCAATGACATTTGGGTCCGTTTCAAGAACCACCCTGAACACACATATCCCATAAGCCATTATCAAACATTAGCTAAAATGCTAAGATATCTCGGACAAACTCTTAAAGGCTCAGCAAATCATTAACAAGTTAAGACTTGCATATAATAGTCGTGTAGTTCTAATAAATATTGCATACCCCTGATCAACCATTTCATCAAGGCACAGAAAGATGAGATCCAAGTTCTCAAGTGCTTCCATCTTTTCCACATTGTTCCTGGTAAGGAAGAGGGGATGCATCAAACATTAATTGTTGACATCATTTAATTAACTAAATAGCGAATATTCGACTGTTAAATCGAGCAAAAATACCTCAGAAGAAATGCAACAGCATCGAAGAAGCCTTGAAGAACAGAAGATAAGATGAGCTCGTTTTCATTTTCACCTCCAGTAACAAAGAAGTGAAGGTCCTGGGCGAACTTATAGACAATAATATTATTGTCCAACAGTGTTATCTCAGCTGCACATAGTAACATTACAACCAAACTTCATACACATCTATAAGTGATTTGAAACAGACGGTAAGTAAATATACAAAGTCAGGAAACCCAATATACAGCCCATGAAAGATATTGTGTAGATGAATAATAACTTGAGTGGTCTTACCTTCTGTGCGAGCATTGGTCTTAGAGGTCTTCGAGAAAACATATTTTTCAAAACTTAATTTGGCAGCATTAGTTGACCATTCATCCGAGTAATATTTGACAGCCACACGCTTTCCTTCAGAGTCTAGAAGAAGAATGTTCTTCACCAATGGACATGAATCCTATTCAATGTAAACTAGACAGTCAGTATTATAGATCATGTACGGTCAAGCTCCTACAAAGCTACATCCTCTACTCAGCATCTATGGGTCAACAAAAAGTGCCATAACAATTTGCGACAAAGAGAAATATATTGGCGGATCGAATCCAGTTTCTGATAATAGAAACAATCTACCAAAGAAAATATGATAATGTAAATTGCACATAAGCAGAACCTTAATTAACTAAGTGAAATTTCTATTTTAAAACAGTAAAAAACGTAAGTAAGACTCCAAATTGGAAACTACGAACGAGGCGAGGATCTTTGGAATAATCGCAACAACAAGGGAACACATTTACATACAAAGATATAGATCCTTACAGAATACGGTATTCAATGATAAATCAACGTATATGCACTTACATGAGTCCCGTGCATGCCTGACATTGTTGCTAAACCACGATATACCTGAAATAGTGACAAACTAGTTGTTATCTCAATTACAAACACAAGAAACAATCAAATTTTTTATTTTTGACAACGTACTAAAACTTCAATAAAATCACCACACACATTTAAATAGTCATTTTCAGTCATCTTTCTGGTAAAAGCTCATACACGAGAAGAAAAAAGACATCCATAACCAAACATCTATTATCTAAAACTCAGTTATTTCACTACATGGGACATTCTACGTATAATCTGATCTGCAGGAACAGAAAGTCACTCATTCCAAGCAGAGATCATATCGAGAGTAAAATGATGGAATATACCAACAAAGAACCACCAAAAATTGGATCGATACACACATCAACAAGCAAAGTTCCACAAAAATAAAGAGAAAACCCCTTAATTTCATCGGGTAGTCACACAAGCAAGCAGAAAACTGCGCGGATCTCTACAATGTGCCAATACCCAACCGCGAAAAAGCAAGTAATTTCTCTAATTAAGCTCATCCCAACAGCAAAATATCGAACTACGATTGAAGATCTCCAAAGAAATGGGGAAGATAATCATAATTCAAGGATCAGGGTGACAAACGATCACCGGAATAAAACAAGATCAGAGAAGAAGCAATGGAGGATTTAGAGACGTATTATTAGTTCCGGAACTAGATTCAAATATCAAGACCGCAGGATCGGAAGATCAGACGTAAGAGCTAAACAGAAATCAAAATACCTTGAGAAAGCAAATTTCTTTCGCTTCGTCGTTTCAGGATGTTCCAAGATTTTAAGTTAGCTGGTCTAATCTAATTTTCCGGAACCTAGATCCAATTTGGGATTTTTCATCTGACCGGTTATAAAAATCTAGACTACACGTCGTTTTTCTATTTGGAGACTCACTTTATGCCATTTTAAGTCCAGTGGAATTTCTCAGAAACTACAAGGCGTTAAAGGAAATGTTCTCTTCTCCTCTGGAGAGAATAAAGTATAAAAATGTAACTTTTCTGGTCCAAAGCATCAAAAAGTCTCCTCTGTCTCTCTCTCTCTCTGCGTCCTTCTGAGGCTGGAAGCGATGACCATGGCAGCATTTCTCGCGAGACGGCTGATCGGTAACCGATCGAGCCAGATTCTCGGGACTTCGAGTTCTAGCTCCGGTGCGCTCATTTCCGCTGTTAGGGCTCTCTCCTCCTCCACCACTCCGATCAAAGCAACTCTCTTCCCTGGCGATGGGATCGGTCCCGAGATCGCCGAATCTGTCAAACAGGTGCCTTATCCTAATCTGCTTTCTACTTGTTTTCGTTCATGTGTATCCTGGGAACAGAAGATGTATTGATCGCGTTTCTTATGTGATGATTTTAATATTTGAGTTTCTCAGAATTTTGTTTCTGTAAGCTGATTGTTGATGTCTCTTTAAAAATGTTTGTCCTTTATGGTGATCCAGGTGTTTACTGCCGCTGATGTGGCCATTGAATGGGACGAGCACTTTGTTGGTACTGAAATAGATCCTAGAACCAATAGTTTCTTGACATGGGAAAGTCTTCAATCTGTGCTCGATAGAAAGGTTGGCTTGAAAGGACCAATGGCAACGCCGATTGGAAAGGGTCATCGCTCTCTGAACCTTACTCTTAGAAAAGAGCTGAATTTGTATGCCAATGTGAGGCCTTGCTACAGCCTTCCTGGGTACAAAACTCGTTATGATGACGTTGATCTCATTACCATCCGTGAAAACACTGAAGGAGAGTACAGTGGGCTTGAACACCAGGTTGGTCTGTTGCTCCATCATTTGAGTGGGTTTATATTTAGGATCCTTTTAAGAACCTTTCTGATAATTTTCCATTTTGATTTGCTAGGTCGTTAAGGGTGTGGTGGAAAGTCTTAAAATTATTACCCGGAAGGCGAGTATGAGAGTTGCGGAGTATGCCTTTCTCTATGCCAAGACTCACGGAAGGAAGAAAGTTTCTGCAATTCACAAAGCCAACATTATGCAGAAAACTGATGGTCTTTTCCTGCAGGTCTGCTCTTGTTGAACAATGTCATTTTTTTTTTTCAGAACAAAGGGTTGTTCTGAAAATAAGGTTTCATTTGCTTCCTGTTTTTCAGTGCTGTGATGAGGTTGCTGAGAAGTATCCTGAGATAGAATACGAGCAGGTTGTTATTGACAATTGCTGTATGATGGTAAGCTACAACATGCTCTTTCCTTACCCTTTGTTCTGAATTGTGTAAAGGTCAATCTCATAGTTAAAATTTTGCTGATTTAGAGTTAGGTTTCCCAGCAACTTGTACTTGAGTCGGATTTTTCCACTATTTTTTTACTTATAGAACAAAATGCATTCTTGTATTGTGGAATATGTGTTTGAATTTGATATTCTTAATTCCGGCAGCTTGTGAAAAATCCTGCACTTTTTGATGTCTTGGTGATGCCAAATCTCTATGGAGATATTATCAGCGATTTGTGTGCCGGACTAGTTGGGGGACTAGGATTGACTCCAAGGTAACGTTTGTTCTTTCATCTCTAAGAATATATTCTATCATGACAATGAGGCAATTATCTTAAGCTATTGTTATCTTTTGCTGCAGTTGTAATATCGGGGAGGATGGTATTGCCCTTGCTGAAGCCGTTCACGGCTCTGCACCTGATATTGCTGGAAAGGTTAGATGTTATCATCATTCTAACTTTGTATGATACATTCAAATTTAAGTAACTCAATCTGACTGTTACTCTAAATACCAAGTATGATATAAGTTGCTTGCTCTTGAGAGAAGTTTCTTAATCTCCCTTTTCCATGCGTTTTCGTGGTAGAATATTTTATATGCTTAGAGTTTCATTGTCTAGTTTCTATTGCAGAAACTTCTTGTTGGATCCTCATGCTTGTAATACTTGAATGATGTTAATAACTTTCCAACCTAGCATTAGGGGTTAACGAGTCTCGTCTATGCATCCACTGCAAACATCTCTGCACAAGAGAACTTGATTCAATCCCTAGCTTATGATCCAAATTTTTTTGTTCTTGTTTGACCTGGTGTTGTGTAGAACCTGGCGAACCCGACAGCTTTGCTTCTGAGTGGAGTGATGATGTTGCGGCACCTGAAGCTCAACAAACAAGCAGAGCAAATCCACAGTGCCATCATCAACACAATAGCTGAGGGAAAGTATAGAACCGCTGATCTCGGAGGTACCTCAACCACAACAGACTTTACAAAAGCAATCTGCGATCATCTCTAAACACCTCTAAAATCGCAGTTCTTTAGTCATTCGCCATTGGATCTTTCCTTCTTGTTTCTCACACGTTTTTTTCTCTCTGTCTTTCTGATCATCTTTTTATGAGAAGAAACAAAGCCGACATTGGCTTTTCTCATGATTTTTGTTTTTCTTTACATTTTGAGTTCTTGCACAGAAATTTACCTCTGCCTTAAGGTTCATAACACATGAAGGATATAGATGTTTTGAAGAATTCATCGAAAGGTTGTTTTGTTAAACACATTTTACATATTGTATCTTGCCTGAATTGTTTGGCATTTTTGTACTCTAATCCTCTGTGAATCTTCAACAATAATAACATCGTCCATTTTTCGACCATATCGTGGATGATTCCAGTTGAGATGTCTCTTTTAGAAATTTTGGAATTGTTTTTGTTATTTTATTAATCTTTACCTCAAATTCAAAACTCCTGTTTTCAGAAAGTTCATGATCCAACCACATAGATTGAAACAGAAAAAGGTAATTTTCTTACGGAATTAAGCTGTAAAATCCACAAGAGGGAGCAAAAACATATCAGACCAAACTACCTTCACCTGACCTAAGAAGGAATTGTCACAGTAAAAGTCTTACAAACTTACCACTCTGAAACCATTTAAAGTGAAAACTTGAATGTGGAAACTACACAACGTGGATGATTTATGACTTATCAATGCCACCGACAACTGATTTTTATCTCTTCCTCCTCGTTCATAGTTTGAACAGTGTACTTGCGGGATCAATCAGAGTTTCAACGTACGTTGATTATTGTTTCAAGTTGGTTGGTGGGATTGTGACCTTAAAATCTACTGTAATTAATCCATACATGTTTAAAATATTATATTTATAAATACTAACTGTATTTTACTGAAGTAAAATCTATCTTTGGTTTTCACCTAATATTAAACACACTCTCCCACTGACCAAAACATTCGAGCCTCCATTACCACCAGATCTGCGTCTCTTTTCTTTCCTCTTTCTCTCTTCTCGAAATCCTTACATCATCTCAATCCATGGCTTCCTCTGATTTCGATGGAATCCTCTTGGGCATGGGAAACCCACTCCTCGACGTCTCTGCCGTCGTCGACCAAGAGTTCCTCAACAAGTAAGCTTCCTCGCTCGGATCCTTCTCTTTTGTTTTCGTTCGGATCTGGATTGTTTGTGTAACTATATTCTTCTGGGTTCCTCTGATTTCTTAATGTTTTCCTTTGGAATCGTGACAGATACGACATCAAGTTGAACAATGCGATTCTCGCGGAGGACAAACATTTGCCCATGTAAGGATCACTTTTCTTCATCTAAATTGGATTTGAATAAGCTCCACTCAAATGCTCCGAAATAGCTTCCATTTGAAATTATCAAATCAATGTTGCAAAACAAGTCTTAATTAGGACATTACTTTGTTCTGTAATCGTTGTGGGTATGTAAAATGGAATCTGGATAAGTCCTGTTTCGAACACTATATACAAGTTCGTCTAAGTCTTTTGATTTTTTCCTCAGCCTTCAGTGATACAGATAAAGAAAATAGCTTCTCTTCATAGTTGTGTTTGATATGACTGTGACTATTTTTTTCTTCACCAACTCATCGTTAGATATCTTGTTACTCGGAATTTACATGAAAATGGAAATTTTTTTTCTTAGGTACGATGAAATGAGCAAGAAGTTCAATGTCGAATACATCGCTGGAGGTAATTCATCTTTTGCTCTCTTATTGGACATGTGGTGGTGTTAATGTGCATTCGCAGGATTCTGATATCTTCTTAATTCGTTCGGCTTTCAGGTGCTACCCAGAACTCAATTAAAGTGGCCCAGGTAAAGGATGATTACGCCTTATTCTGCATACTTGCTTTTAAAGTTACTACTTTTTTTTGCTAAACAAATGATATCTTTGATTTCTGCAGTGGATGCTTCAAATCCCTGGGGCAACCAGTTACATGGGATCCATTGGAAAGGACAAATACGGTGAGGCAATGAAGAAGGATGCTACAGCAGCTGGTGTCAATGTGAGTCTACTTAATTTTTTTTTTAATGTTGGTTTTTGGTTCTGATTTAAGTCCACTCCAAAAGGTCATGAAATAGAAGCCTGTTAAAATCTGCTGTTATTCTATATCCAGGTCCACTATTACGAAGATGAGTCAACACCTACCGGAACTTGCGGTGTCTGTGTTATGGGTGGAGAAAGGTCAGTGGAGAATCATTCTCTATGTCTGCTTCTGATTTAACTTAAAAATATCTCCTTCTGTTGAGTTGTATTGAGGGATGGTTCCCTTTTCGCAGGTCTCTTATCGCAAATCTTTCTGCTGCAAATTGTTACAAGGTTGAACACCTAAAGAAGCCTGAGAACTGGGCTCTGGGTAAAAACTCATCTTTACCGACCTTTTGTATCAAAGTTTGCTTTCCGGGACTGGATAGTTTCACATGTCAGAGTTGTCTGAGATATTTGTGAGACATAGATCTTTTTTTTTCCTTTGGCAGTTGAGAAGGCCAAGTTCTACTACATTGCTGGGTTCTTCCTTACGGTATCACCAGAATCCATTCAGCTGGTACGTGAACATGCCGCTGCAAACAACAAGGTAAACAAGATATGATCCTTCACGAAAACCAACGCTCACTGATCTTTCTCCCCGAACAGTATGTCTTTAATACGAAAGATCCTGACATGCTCACGTATCTGACAGGTGTTCACGATGAACCTTTCTGCTCCATTCATCTGTGAATTCTTCAAAGACGTTCAGGAGAAGTGCCTACCGTAAGCAAAACCTAATACTATTCTATCTTATAGTTTGCTAAAGTAAAGTAATAAATCATGGCGATATACTGAAAAGCACGACTCCTGCATGCATCTAATGTCTTGCTCCGACCAGGTACATGGACTACGTTTTTGGCAATGAGACCGAGGCAAGAACCTTCTCCAGGGTTCACGGCTGGGAGGTAATGCCAAAGTTTCACCTTGTTTTTGGTTTGAACAAAGACAGTTTAGTAATATGTTTGCTTATATTTTTTTTTTGTATAGACCGATGATGTTGAGCAAATAGCCATCAAGATCTCCCAGTTGCCCAAAGCCACCGGAACATACAAGAGGACTACTGTGATTACACAAGGCGCAGATCCTGTGGTTGTTGCTGAGGATGGAAAGGTGAAGAAGTACCCAGTCATCCCTCTCCCCAAGGAGAAGCTCGTTGACACCAACGGCGCAGGTATTTGATTAAGAACCCAGCTCTCATTTACTGCTCTGCTCTCTAACTAACAAACAACAGCTCTAATCTGGTACATACATCCCTAGGCTACACATAGTAGGACTTATAGCTAAAAGAGTTGAGCCTCTGAATTTCTTTTCAAAAGCTTATTATTGTTTTGATGATATAAGCCACTCATTTGCCAAACCGTTTGCTGCGCCAGATTGTAATGACAAAGATCATCATACATTTGGTTTCAGTCTCAAGTTAACCAGTACCAATGGTTTAACTATCTTTTTTTGTGTTCATAGGTGATGCGTTTGTGGGAGGGTTTCTTTCACAGCTGGTGCATGGAAAGGCGATTGAGGAGTGCGTGAGGGCGGGATGCTACGCTTCAAACGTGGTGATCCAAAGGTCTGGCTGCACTTACCCTGAGAAACCAGACTTCAACTAAAAAAAACTAAAATTCTCTCAAATCATCCTTTTAGTTTTATCCCCGATTGTTGAGATTTTGGCTTATATTATACGTCCCAAATAAACATCATTGCTTCTATCACCTTTTGAGGCTTTGAGCTGTGGAGGTGTTCTTGTTGGCTTCTTTTTGTTATTACCCCTTTTTCAATCAGAATTTTATTACTTAATAAAATTATCACTATACTATATGCCCAGTATGATATAACCGAATGTTTATGTCTGAAAATGGTATGAAAACCAGAATAATTTCATGAATGAATTAAAAACTCATTTAACCGAATTCAATTTGTTTCGGTTAAACGTTTCCAATGACTATGCTATACAAAGTTCGTACGGTTCCAAAAAAAAAAAATATATACAAAGTTCGTAGAATCTTTTGCGTCGGTGTACATAAGACAATTTCTATCGAATGAATTGATGGATACGACAACTTTCTCTCGTTTATGATAAGTACTAGTAGGGTAGGAGTCTTACCGTAGGGCCAAATATGACTTGTTAAATTCTGTTGACTTTGACCAATATGGATCCAATAACTTTGACTTTTGACTTCTCTTCTACATTCTTTTTTTTTTCTCGTATACAATCAAACTAGAATATTTGTACCCAATTCAAAACTATTCCTCTGTTCCAGAATAGATGATGTTTTAAGATTTTTCTTTATTCCAAAATAGATGATGTTTTGGAAGTATTTAATGCTATTACATTTTACAAGAATGATTTAATAACATATTTTATTTAATTATTTTGAAGTAATAAATGTTTATGTGTAAACAAACTAATAAATATCAAGTGATAAATTAAAATTCGTTCATAATGGTTATAGAGCATTTAATAAGTGTGTGAAAAAAAAATTTAAAAAGTGAAAAGATAAAAAAATAACTGAAAGTAATACATATTTATTATTTCTTAATAAGAGTGAAATTTCTAAAACATTATGAGGGAGTAGTTGAAACTCTTAGAAATACGTAAAAGCAAGATATAAAATTTTGTAATACATTCCTACCATACTTTAAATGTAAAATATGGATCGAATACAGATACATTAGATTTACAAAATCATGATTTACAGAAATGGGCAAAGTTTAATTAAGCTTTTGTCAAAAAACTTCGAAACTGCCCTAACTAATGAGAAGTTAAATTGGCAAGGGTCATGATTGATCCACTTTAACATGATATTATAGTTGTATCATACATTGGTAGGTGAAGTCGCAACATTTGAGTGGAAGATGCATAAAATTTCATTTGTAGGTGAAGTCGCAACATTTAAGAGTATAAGACGTTATTCAAAAACAAAATTGTGTGTAGAAGATATAAAACCGGGATCAAACCGAACTTTAAACTGACCCACTTAGTGTAAGCAACACGACAAACTTGTGTTAGTATCTGTATAATGATGATATAAATAGGTTCAGTTACCAATGTTTAAGGTAGCCCACCCCAACAAAGTGGTACAATTTACCAAAACCAAATTTTAAGAAACCAATATATCAATCGGAAATCGAAACCGATGATTTCTTTAATTGATTTTTTTGTGTGAAAATGCTAAACTTTGTCGTTAAATTCATGTAATCAAGGTTCCAAGAAGATTTGGGAAATCTCCTCCTAGGTGACCCAAGTTAAGTATACCCTTTCACTAATTTCCCCATTGCAATTCTCTTTGATAACTTATAAATTATATAAATAATAATAAGATTAAAAGAGAATCATTCTTGTTGGCATAAACAATGCAAAATTATAGTATATTTTTTTATATATACATTTGGTATGTAGAAAGGACTTTGGAAACCACCATCGGCGGATTCACCTAAAAGAGCTAAATTTTCTTTATAGCTTGTTTTTGATAACCATTTACTACTCAATAAACTCTTGTACAAAAGCGATCACATTCACTGCTCTATTGGCTACTGCTACTGTTTTCAAGCACCTTACCCTTGAACAAGTCAACAGAAACAAAGAACGTTTTAATTTTTTTTCACAGTTCTTTTTCTAATAAAAATAGATATTCTTTTTCTTTTTGGTGTGTACAATAATTACAATCAATTTCGTTTTGTTTGTCTAAACTCTCAGTTCCTTGTTCTTTTGCTGACTTGGCTATCTGCAAAGACTTGTTTTTTATTTGCCGTGTGACGACTTCTTCTTCTTCATCTTCTTCGTCCTCTCCTCTTCTTCGAAGCTTTGCTTCTTAAAAATCTCTGCACATCTTTCCTCAAATCTCTTCGTCTTTTATCATGACCCATTTCAAATAATCACAATCATCCTTCCCTTCTGGCGATTAAATTTCATCTTCTTCTGACAAAGTTTTAATTTTTCTGTTTACAGAATCAATTCAAAGGTGAGTTGTAACCATCTTCTGCTTTTTATGCTTGTTCACTTTAGTCAGAGTTTTTTATGTCGCTGTTGGGTTTTAGAGTATAGGTTTCAACTTGCGAAAGTCGATTACTTCTAGCTTTAAGATCCTAGATTTTTTTTTGGATCTGTAGGAACTCCTCTCGACCTTTTGATCTTTTGAATGTAAAGTTCGAAATTCGAATGATCACTGAAATATTTTTCTTTTTACTCTGTTAAGTACTTGGAAGATAGACTCAATTGTGGAAATGCTTAATTTTGAAGATTAATTGTTTGATCAAATGCTCCAACAAACTCAAATGGTTTTGATGTTCTGGTTGCATATATATGTTACATGATCAGAGTTTTCTTTTATGTTCCTGCAGTGGAGAAACCTCGGTGGTATAATTTCTTCTCGACAATGAAGTGTTTCTTGTTCTCTGGAGGGGACAAGAAAGACGACCAGAAGACCCCTAAGTCGGTCTCACTGACCTCTAACTTCTCTGACCACGACATAAACCGAAGCGGGTCAGAGTTCAACTCTCGAGATGCCTCTGCCACGAGCACCGAGTCATCCATGGGGAGGAAGAACTCGTACCCTACAATGTCTACTAGAGCAAGTAACCTCAGAGAGTTCAGCATTACTGATCTCAAGTCTGCAACAAAGAACTTTAGCCGGTCTGTTATGATTGGAGAAGGCGGTTTCGGTTGTGTCTACAGAGGAACAGTGAGGGACTTAGAAGACCCGTCAATTAAAATCGAAGTCGCGGTTAAGCAGCTCGGTAAAAGAGGTTTACAGGCAAGACTCTTTTTTTTCTTCTTCTAGTCTTGTTCTCAAGAATTTGTTAGTTACACCACAGGGCTAACTCTGGTTATCTCATTTCTTGCAGGGGCATAAGGAATGGGTTACAGAAGTTAACTTCCTCGGGGTGGTTGAGCATTCAAACTTGGTGAAGTTGCTTGGTTATTGTGCAGAAGATGATGAACGTGGGATCCAACGGCTTTTGGTTTATGAATACATGCCTAACCGAAGCGTTGAATTCCACTTATCTCCACGTTCACTCACGGTCCTTACCTGGGATCTCAGATTGAGAATCGCTCAAGATGCAGCTCGTGGTTTAACATACCTGCACGAACAAATGGAGTTTCAGGTAATGTCATGCCTCTGCTACGCTATGACTTGAACTGATCTCACTCTTTCTTTCTTTAGTGACTTTGATCCATTGTTATACAGATAATATTCCGCGATTTCAAGTCCTCAAACATTCTTTTGGATGAAGACTGGAAAGCAAAGCTCTCGGATTTCGGTTTGGCTCGTTTAGGTCCATCTGAAGGACTAACCCATGTTTCTACCGATGTAAGCTCTGCATTCACTTCTTTTGGTTGCAAGATTTTGGAGAAACACTTATGATTTTTAACTGGTTTCTTCGGGTTCATTAGGTCGTAGGTACAATGGGTTATGCAGCTCCTGAATACATCCACACCGGCCGTCTCACATCCAAAAGCGATGTGTGGGGTTATGGTGTGTTCATCTATGAGCTCATCACAGGGAGGCGACCAGTAGACAGAAACAAACCAAAGGGAGAGCAGAAGCTTCTAGAATGGGTGAGACCTTATCTATCCGACACGAGGAAGTTCAAGCTCATATTAGACCCAAGGCTCGAAGGGAAGTACCCTCTCAAATCAGTTCAGAAGCTAGCAGTTGTGGCCAACAGATGTTTGGTTAGGAACCCAAAGGCACGTCCTAAGATGAGTGAAGTGTTGGAGATGGTGACCAAGATTGTGGAAGCTCCTTCAGGGAGCGGTATTAATCCGCAGCTAGTTCCGCTGAAGAGTCTAGAGACTTCTAGAGACGCGGGTGGGAAAAAGAAGAGGGTCTTAGAGACGAGGAACAATGGTGGCGGCGAAGGAGGTTGGTTTGGCAAGTTATGGAACCCAAAGACAATACGAGCTTGTTGATTGCTTTAGATTCAACCTCTTCTCATGAAAAGAAAAAGCCTTATGGAGATTGAAAAGCTGAAAGATTTGGGTGAGATCAAGATCAAGCTCATATATATATATATATACATATTTATATATGAAGATTGTAAGATGATAAATGATATAATTCGATGTTTCCATGATTGTAAGTTGTAACCACAGCTGAATTACCAAGATATGTATATAGCTTATCAGAGTTTTGTTCCAAGTCTGATGAGTCTTCAGCACATAAATACTCGTGCTTACGTGTATATTTGTGGATTGTGGGTTTCTTAAAATGTGGTGAAAAAAGAGGGGAGAGGACTACTAAAATTTGGGAGTAGTAGTTGGAAAAGGAATATTAGCCGATAGGTAGGAAAATGCTATTCTTTGTGTTGTTTGGTAATTTTCTGTAGAAAAAAAATGTAAGTGTATTAAGTAAGTATTGTTCCATATATTTTCCACATAATACATAGTATAAATGAATTCAATTTATTTGTTACACGCCCTCAACTTGTTTTATAAATTTTGTTTTAAAGTTTGTTTTATAATCGTCTCAAATGTGATATGAAGCTCTAAAAAAAAAAAGATATGAAGCTCTAACGAAAGAAAAACGAAGAAGAATAAGAGTATGCTTGATAAGAAGAAACACTCTTGATTCCATTCACTTTCTTTGCATTGGTTTTTTTTTGGAGAATACAGGAGGCCAATGAAGAAAAAGGAAAAATAAAGGAACATACAAAGAAATTAACACAAAATTACACAATTGGGGAAAATTGTACATTTTGAAGAGAATTCGAGTTGTTTTCGCACAGAACACAATTAGGGTGTAAATTGGCAAAAAAGGGAACGCTAGGGGTCGTTTTGATATTACTAAGAAGTTTAGAAAAAGGAAAGAAAAAAAAAGGAAAATAAAGTATAGTTCTCTTTTCCAACAAGAAACATAGAGATATTATTAATATGTGAAAATCTCTGCTCTTTCAGATCCCATTATCACAATCGATCTCTCAGAGAACCTAAGGGAAAACTAAAAGCTCTCAACTTTCTTAGATTTTCTGAGGGAAATTTCTCGCTAATCTCAAATCCATTATGTCAACCCCAGCTGAATCTTCAGACTCGTAAGTACCCAGATCTCCGATTGTGGTTTTCCGATCGGGAATTTCCGATCTTTTAAAGTTTGGGTTTCCGATTTCGGGGCTAGGGTTTTTGGTTGATCTTGTGTCTAAAGTTGAAGCTTATTCCTTTTTACTGTTGTTCTTTGTATTGTTACAGGAAACCGAAGAAAGATTTCAGTACTGCTATTCTGGAGAGGAAGAAGTCACCGAACAGACTCGTTGTCGATGAGGCCATCAACGATGATAACTCCGTCGTATCTCTGCACCCTGCCACAATGGAAAAGCTCCAGCTCTTCCGTGGTGATACCATTCTCATCAAGGTTGGCTTTGCTTTTTTTCGTTTGGGCTCTCTTTTGATTGTGTTATCGAATGGTTGGTTTCCCATGCTTGGCTGATTGGATTCTTCTGTGGTTCTACATATATTAGGGTTTTAAAAATCAGTGATTTATGATCGTAGGAGACTTGCTTTCTTGAGTATCGAATGATAGTATTGTACTGATGCTGTCTTGATGACTGATTTTTTGTTGTTGGTTTTTGTGAGATCTTATTTAGTTTGGCTTTTTCTTTCAGGGTAAGAAGCGGAAGGACACTGTTTGCATTGCTCTTGCTGACGAATCATGTGAGGAGCCAAAGATCAGAATGAACAAAGTCGTCAGATCTAACTTGAGGGTTAGATTGGGAGATGTCATTTCGGTTCACCAATGCCCAGATGTTAAGTACGGAAAGCGTGTGCACATCTTGCCAGTCGATGATACCGTTGAAGGCGTGACTGGAAACCTCTTTGATGCTTACCTGAAACGTATGTTGGCTTTTGTGTTATTTAGATGTCATTCCAACTATGCAAGTTTTGATTTTTCTTTTTGGGGTTCTTGTTTGATTTGAGATATATTGTTTATGGGTTTGGAGTGATTTCTGAACAAAATTTCAATGTTTTTCAACAGCTTATTTTCTGGAGGCATACCGCCCCGTGAGGAAGGGTGATCTCTTCCTAGTCAGAGGAGGAATGAGGAGTGTGGAGTTCAAAGTTATAGAGACAGATCCTGCTGAGTACTGTGTTGTTGCTCCAGACACGGAGATTTTCTGTGAGGGTGAGCCAGTGAAGAGAGAGGATGAAGAAAGACTAGATGAAGTAGGTTATGATGATGTTGGTGGTGTCAGGAAACAGATGGCTCAGATTAGGGAACTTGTTGAGCTTCCCTTGAGGCATCCGCAACTATTCAAGTCCATTGGTGTTAAGCCACCAAAGGGAATTCTGCTCTATGGACCTCCTGGGTCTGGAAAGACTTTGATTGCTCGTGCTGTGGCAAATGAAACCGGTGCCTTTTTCTTCTGTATTAATGGACCTGAGATCATGTCCAAACTGGCTGGTGAGAGTGAGAGCAACCTCAGGAAAGCATTTGAGGAGGCTGAGAAAAACGCTCCTTCGATCATATTCATCGATGAGATTGACTCTATCGCACCCAAAAGGGAGAAGACAAACGGAGAGGTTGAGCGGAGGATTGTGTCTCAACTCCTTACACTAATGGATGGGCTTAAATCGCGTGCTCATGTTATTGTCATGGGAGCAACCAATCGCCCTAACAGTATTGACCCAGCTTTGAGACGGTTTGGAAGATTTGATAGGGAGATTGATATCGGGGTTCCTGACGAAATTGGACGTCTTGAAGTACTCAGGATCCACACAAAGAACATGAAGCTTGCTGAAGATGTAATTTCTAATTCTAGTTTTACCTCTTTTTTTTGGTTAAGTGTAATGTTTTTTGAAGCTAATTTTTTCTTGTGGTTTTTCGTTTCCAGGTGGATCTTGAGAGGATCTCAAAGGACACACACGGTTATGTCGGTGCTGATCTTGCAGCCCTGTGCACAGAAGCCGCCCTGCAATGCATCAGGGAGAAGATGGATGTGATTGATTTGGAAGATGACTCCATAGATGCCGAAATTCTGAATTCTATGGCAGTGACCAATGAACACTTCCACACTGCTCTTGGGAACAGCAACCCATCTGCACTTCGTGAAACTGTGAGTATTGACAGTGCTGCACTTATTTCAAGAACGAAACCTGTAATTTTACTTTAGTCTAATTTCAAAATTTCCTCTCTTTGCAGGTTGTGGAGGTTCCCAATGTCTCTTGGGATGATATTGGAGGTCTTGAGAATGTCAAGAGAGAGCTCCAGGAGGTAAATTGCTCTTTCCATTCTTACCTGGATTTGTTCATTAATTGTAAGCTAAGCTTAAGCTGTGCATTTTTTTTTTTAATTGCAGACTGTCCAATACCCGGTTGAGCACCCAGAGAAGTTTGAAAAATTCGGGATGTCTCCATCAAAGGGAGTCCTTTTCTACGGTCCTCCTGGATGTGGTAAAACCCTTTTGGCCAAAGCTATAGCCAACGAGTGCCAAGCAAACTTCATCAGTGTCAAAGGTCCTGAGCTTCTTACTATGTGGTTTGGAGAGAGTGAAGCGAATGTCCGTGAAATCTTTGACAAGGCCCGTCAGTCCGCTCCATGTGTTCTCTTCTTTGATGAGCTTGACTCCATTGCGACTCAGAGAGGAAGCGGAAGCGGTGGCGATGGTGGCGGTGCAGCAGATAGAGTCCTGAACCAGCTTTTGACTGAGATGGATGGCATGAACGCTAAGAAAACCGTCTTCATCATTGGAGCAACCAACAGACCCGACATTATCGATGCGGCTCTTCTCCGTCCAGGAAGGCTCGACCAGCTCATTTACATTCCACTACCAGACGAGGATTCGCGTCTCAATATCTTCAAGGCCTGCTTGAGGAAATCTCCTGTTGCCAAAGATGTAGACATCAATGCACTCGCTAAGTACACACAGGGATTCAGTGGTGCTGATATCACTGAGATTTGCCAGAGAGCTTGCAAGTACGCCATCAGAGAAAACATCGAGAAGGTCAGAGATCACTATTAAGGCTTTGTAAATCTCTCTAATCAGAATTATGCTAAGAGTCTTGAATCTCTAAATTGAGCTCTTTGGTTTTTGTTTGCAGGACATTGAAAAGGAGAAGAGGAGGAGCGAGAACCCAGAGGCGATGGAGGAAGATGGAGAGGATGAAGTGTCAGAGATCAAAGCTGCACACTTTGAGGAGTCGATGAAGTATGCGCGCAGGAGTGTGAGTGATGCAGACATCAGGAAATACCAAGCCTTTGCTCAGACGCTGCAGCAGTCTCGAGGGTTCGGTTCTGAGTTCAGGTTCGAGAATACTGCTGGTTCGGGCGCAACCACTGGAGTCGCTGATCCTTTTGCCACATCTGCAGCTGCTGCCGCGGACGATGATGATCTCTACAACTGATGATCAAATTTATCACATCCTTTTTTTTTTTTTTTCAAATTTAAGAAGTTTTAAATCGAATTCTCTACTGTTGGATGACTAGGAAAGTGATACTGATCCTTTCCTTGTGGTTTTATCGTTTTATAAAGTATTCGGAATCAGTCATGTTGGTAACTTTTAATCAATGTTCTTCACTCCTCTTGTTCATTCATTACTAAAGGGCTAGAAGCTATCCTATTCTGTAGTCTTTATTGTCATTTTTCTTTTTATAGTTCTAGGGGATCTTGACTACTTGCTTGATATTTTCATCACCTTTAACTAAATAGGAAGTATAACTAACGTGCCCATTGGCATTCTTAACAATGATGACTAGAAGACTACTACGAACAGTAGTATGAAATTTCCCTTATTTTCGCATTTGGAATTAGTATGGTATGGCATCATCATCATCATAATGGAAAAATGTGCAGTTGCATTTTAGACAGAAATTTGCACAATCGCATTTTTAGCGAAAAATTTATGGGAATGTGTTTGTTAGAGGAGGAGAGATGCAAAATCAACATTATTACTGACAACTCTTATCACCAAAATCAAAGTAATTATCACAAGTCTGTCTTTTTTTTTTTTTGGCAAACATCACAAGTCTGTCTAAACGAAAGGATTTGTTTATTAATTAACAACATTGATGCTAAGATAACAACAAAGCTGCTCCCCAAGTCTCAAACCATAACTGAAAATTACTAGCCACATACTGAACGATTGAAGATGAACATAAAAATGAGTATCAGTGTTCTTGTTCCAAACATTGACCGTTAAATCCTTAACCTTCGGCGCCTAATCCACGTGCTTTAGGACGTCTGACAGCGAACAGCGGATTGACTATGCCTTGTGAATCTCTTCCCAAACCCGAGCCTTCGACAAAACCCATTCTCGCCATCATCCTCGAGCCAAAACCTGTTGTATGCTGCTCAAATGCTCCCAATCTTTTGTCTCTAATTCTTGCTGAACCAGAGGCACCACCACTTTCATGGGAGATGCGTTTCACATGTTTTCCAGAGGAAGAAGGTTTGTTCCTCTTAGCGTTATTGCTTGATGGACTCGGGTCTTCACTGTTAATGGGGAAATCAAGACCTAAACCAAGTGATTTCGGACGTTGAACAGCTTCTATTGGCTGTGCAATTCCCTTACCATCTTTTCCTAGACCGCCTCCTTCTATGAATCCCATTTTAGCCATCATTTTGGATCCAAAGCCTTTGGTGTGTACCTCGAATGCTCCAATATATGCTCCATTAGTGGCTCCCGGAGTAGTTTCAGCCACCTGTTTTGCGTCTCTGTCATCAGAAGAGGTCTTTGCAACAGCAATCTCAGAATCGATTACACCACTTGACACAAATGATACAGGTTGCTCGGCATATGAAGTCTTCTTCCCGCTGCTGCTTTTGTTTCTCTCCCGTTCTTCTCTAGATATTCGCTTTTTCGCTGAGTCTTTTACTTTCTTCCTATCTGAACTGCCAGATTTCACTTTTACCCCTCGACTTACAGCGAAATCATCTTGCTCATCTCCTGCTCCTATTAGCTTCTCAATGCGAATTTTATCACTCGCGGATGGCAAACATGTCTGGTACGTTCGGGTCACCGTCACAAAGCTTTTCTTTCCAGAACCCGTGCAGCTACTTGATAAGCGGTATACATCTGCTAATCTTCTTACCTGAGAACAATCTCGGTTATGCATACGCTGAAAACAGTGCATGTCCGTGTTTTCCAGAACCATCCGCTCTAGTTTAGAGTTTATATCAGCAAGATCAACACCACGCTGCAGCATTCTCTCACGACGCTTCACAGCAATATATTCTTTGCGGTGTTTCTTCTTCTCACCAGGAAACCTACGGGAATTCTTGCTCTTTTGGGCCCCTGAAGGCCAAGACTGGGGAAGAAACTTGGTCACCTGTTTCTTCTTACTCTTCTTCCCCGATAGACCTCTTGGATCCTTCACAAACATAAGGTCATCCATTGTCAATGGATGAGCAGCCTTACCATGCCCCGAGGAACGACTTCTTGTCAATTTCTTCTTACCATATTCCATTGATGCTTTTTGTAGAGCAAAACCAGTCAACTTTCCTGTCTTTTTGTCATCAGAAGAATAACTTGAGGAACTGTCACCACTTGACAAATCCAATTTATCCAAAGACTCTTCTGCTAACCAGTGAGCATCCAACATATTCTCACTGCCACCAATACCTTCCAAGTAATCCTTTGCAACATCGTCATCAATCTCAGAACCACTTCCAAACATGTCTAATGAGCTTTCGCTCTCAGATGATCCAGTCTCTTCACCTTGCTCAGAGGATCCAGTGCTGCCTTCATCTCCAGATTCATCTTCACCATTTATGCCTTCTTCTCCATCACTCTCTTCATCAGATATATCTTCAGTGTATAATTTCATCCCTCCTATAGAAATGAAACCTGAATTCCTCTTCGATGGTTTCACAACATCAGGCATCGCTTCATCTTGTTCACTTGCAGCAGCCTCATCACCAGTTTCATCTTTAGCCGAAAATGAACCAAAAGTTGAACCTCCTTGATCTCCCAGGGCCTTTGAAGCGGAAATGCTACAACTTGGTGCAGCATCAGAATCATCACAAAATCCCAATCCTCTATGAGATTCACCACCCAAAACGAAACTCGGTTCGTATTCGTAATCATAATTTACCTTACCATTCGATGAAGAAGGCGTTTGATCCAGAAATGCAACAATTTGAGTCGGCCCTGTCTTCCCCAACAACATTTGATTTGATCCAACCATCTGATCACCTTCAACGCGTGAGGTTCGCTCCAATCCCTCCTCAAAATCCATGGAAGGATACTGATAACCATAAACTCGACCACTGCATCTCCTCGGATCACTGGTGGAAGCAGAAGCTTTTGTACGATCTGAGCTTCTGGGTTTCGGTCCCTTTCCAAAAGAGCTTCCTCCTCGAGATGGCGTAGAGAAAGTAGGATCTCGCCGGAAATCGGAGAGAATACCTCCTTCCACAAACAGAGTACTATTAGTACGTCGGCGACGACCACCAGACGAAGACCCCGCCGCCGAATTAGATTTCGTTCTCGGAGATCTGGACTTGCTCTTCCCAGAACCACCACCGTTTGATCTTCTCTTGCCACCGCCTCTCATAATTTTAATAACCCAATGCCCAGAAAACCCTAAATCGGGGAAGACGATGAATAATCAAAACGAAAAAAATCTGATCTTTTTATTTAGAGGTCACTTGCCATCTTCTCTTGTTCTTCCCAAAACTGCTGGGCCACGTAGACAAAAACGACGGGTTTCGTGTCGTTTTCGCTTCCTCTAGTGAAGGAATCAACTGTTGGATATTCGGAAAATGTGACCCGAATAAACTGTATTTCTAAATTGACCCCTATTTTTCATATCCTATACTATAGTGGGACAAACCCAGGATATTACAAGCTCGGGTACCAAACAAAAGCTGTTTTTTATTGTCCAGAAATCGCCGGAGAAGATAAAGCAACACACTTTTGAATCTCACAACCAGTTTCAGACTGTGATTTACCTCATAGCCAATTGAGACAGAGCATCTGTCTTGTCACTGTTTGATTTCGAGTTGAAGCTTCTTGACTCGGGTAAGCTCTGGGTGATCTTATACGAATTAGTTCCAAACAATTCCAGTTTGTATAGGTTTATCTACTTCTCCTGTTTGAGAATCGATACGGGTCTTGAAAAGAAAGTCTGAAACAAATCCAGATTGAACAACATCTAGAAGTCAGGAAGCTGAAAATCTTTACTGGTCCAAAATCTATCAAAATTTTACAAAGCTCCATTTTGGTTCGAAACATTACATGCATTTTATTAAACAACAAGAAAGTTTCTGACAGAAACACACAAGTCACGATCATTCCATCACACCAAAAGAACAAACATATTTTTATGATTTTCCTTCTACAACTCCCCACTGCAGTTGCCTGATTCAAGAAACAACACATCAAAACCGATTAGTAACCAAACAATAAATAATGATTCTTTTTTTTAAGGGACAACCATATATATATAGAACTTACATGGAAGGAGGCTCTCGGTAAAAGGAAACATAGATGTTTTCATAAATCGAGCATAATCAGTCTTTCCTTTCTTCCATCTTCTTGTATCCATATTATAGTAACACCATTTTCTCTCAGTCACGTATGAAATATGGTTTTTCAATGAACTTATGCTTAAAACCAAATCATCGTCACTGAAAGGAGATTTAACTCGACATTTATGTTCCCAACTATAGTTTTCACAGTTCTTTTCCCAAATCCATATATCGATGTCCTCTGGATGTAGAATAACAATTGACAGATCTCCCTGATAGTTTATCAAGTAACTTCCTTCTGTTATTCCATCTTCTTCCTTGTGATCACCTTGATATATAGGCAGCTGAATAACAGAGAATATCCCTTCAAAATCGACAGAGAGTATTTCCCCTGGTTCATCTAAAGAAGACAGCCAATAGATCTTTCCTCCAACAAAGACATGAGAAGATCTAAATGGGCTGAAATGAGAATACATAGGGATACATGGCACAGATCCAATGTTTTTCCAAACCCCAGTTCCAGAATGATAAACCTCACATTCAAAAAACCTTTCTTTATCTCCAGGGCAAAAGAAGCGAAACACTTTGTAGTCAAGATTGTTACCAGTGCCATAAGCTACTCCAATAGCTGGCTCAAAACGAAAAGACGGTGTACCTTGGGGAAGAAGGAAAATTTCTCTGGTACAAGGATTGATTATCCGTATCTGCAGATCATAGAAGTCGTCGTTTCCCGACACATCGTTGTCATTAATACAGCAGATTAGCCCGTTGAAGGAAGATACCATGTACATGATGTCTTGATCGTTTCTGTCATCGGGATCAAGCGTGATCAAGTGACGTTTTCTGAAACTCCCTGGCTCCATGGAATACAGTTTCATCATCGTACCCACGCGTGGACATGCGATGAAACAGGGCTTGTCCCTTGAGATCGTGAGCTGCTGTTTAGCGAAGAACTTGTTCCTGATTGAATCGTACCAGTGCTTGCTTACGGTTCGAAATGACAAGATGGATTTTACGGGCAGACGAGATAAGATGTTGATAAAGGCAGTATCTGCTCCTTCTACATCGGCCAATGTCGCTGCTCTCACTGACCTGAGACGTTGTGCTTTAGTTTCGGCCATCTTGTTTTTTTTCCTCATTTTCTTCTATTGCTCTGTCAAATCAACAAAAACAACATCGATTAGCTCATCAAAGCGAAAATGTAACAAAAGGTGAATCACTTGATCGATAGATGAGATCGTTACAGAGCAATTTCCTCTCTCACCTCTCTCAGAAACAGATTAGGGAATCGATCATTTCAAGGTTTAATTGTGGGATTAATGGTGGATTATATACTAAAAGAAGAAAGTCCCATTTCTTCTTCTTTAATTTTGTTTCCCCAAAACGGTGTCATATTTCGGCCTTGACACACCTTTGGTTTTTTTTTTTTCTGCTCGGCCACGTAGCTAAAAACGGTGGGCTTCGTGTCGTTTCGCTTCGTCTTTACGTGGCCGAAGAAGGTATTGATCCTAAACCCAACATTTCGTATCCGATCGTGAGACAGGATATTAATATCTCTGTTACCAAACAGAAGAAGAGTAGAAGGAAGGCCCTTTTTATTATCCAGAAATCGCCGGAGAAGATAGATATAATACAGAGAGCGACGGAGAGAGGGAGAGGGAGAAGAAATGGAGAAGTACTTTGGAAATGCGTACAGGGGAGATCCAGGAGTGCCGCACGCAGATGCTGATCGGTTCGTCAACATTTGGATTGGTTCCGCTGCCTTCTCCGCTCTCACCTGGTTCAATCCTTACATGTGGCAGCTCTCCAACCAGTTCAAGTAATTCTTCTCTCTCTCTTGATTAATCGAAGTCAAAATTTGGGGGCTTCTGGTGTTTCTGTGTTTGATTTCTCTCCGAAAATGCAAGTGTTCCGAATTTGGTTTCTAGTTCATGTGCCTTGAGCTCCCAGTCCGGTTTAGCTCATGATTTGTTTGGTTTAACTCTTTGATTTCTGCTGTTGCTCCTACATTATATCGGTTACTGCACAATTTCATAGCTAGACTCCAGTTTTGAGGAAGCCGTGTTGGTCCTATGGGCTGTAACTTCATAGGCTCTCATCTAGTTCATGTGCCTTGAGTTTCCAATCCGATTTAGCTCTTGATTTGTTTGGTTTAGCTCTTGGATTTCTTTTCTTGCTGCTACATTATATCGATCAAAGCGCAATTTCATAGCTATGCTCCAGGTTAGAGGGAGTCTTGTTGGTCCTATGGGCTGCTGTAACTTAACTTGTTTTGTTATATGATTTGATACACGACGAGAATGGGTATGTTTCCATTGTTTTGTACGGTCTTGTATAGTTGATTAAGCACGTTTCTCCACTTTGCGTTTCATCTATAGATAAGTATCCAAAAAGTCTTGCGCTTCTCTCATAATACTCGATAATTTGCAGTTACCATGACAAGTGGATGCTCTTTGAGCAGCACCACTGGAAAAAAGCAAGGGCAAAGAAGCAGCCTTACGAATTCAAGGTTCGCACTTTACCCCCCAACATTAACTGAGACTGTTTTTTTCAATCAACATATAAACGTTTTGTTTGGTTTACAAGTTGATTTTGCTTCCTTCTTCTCTTTGTTACTCAGTGGAATAAGATACCGAAAGAAGTCAGGGACTCGTATTACTACAACTGGCCTGTCTACTTCCCATAGAAGCCTCTGTGTTGCGCTGACTTGAGAACCACAGGAGAAAACAGCAAATAATAGTCGTGGAACCAGAACCGTGTCTATGTTATGTTATGGATTGGAAAACATTGTTGTCCTTGTAATTTTACTTAACTTCAAGCTTTGCTTTTCTAAGTGCATCGTTCTCAATTCTCATTTTATGGAGCCAATATAAATCTTGCAAAGAACTATGTAATGTGGTGGAACTGGGGAACAGAGGCAAATGCGCTCAATGGCCTGCTTTGAATGTGATAACAAAATATTTAAATGATTCCACTCAAAACGCTTGTGGGTCTTAGGCGTTTTCACACCTCACAATGTTCCAATTTTTCCCTTAATTAATCTATAGGTATTGAGTTGATCTTAAGCACAGAAATCGTCGAAGCAGATCTTGCTTCGAAGAGTCTTGTCAGTAGCGATGGAAAAATCTTCAGATAGCAAACTTTTGATAGTTGCAACTGGCTCTACCGTGAGCACATTCTCTTCCTCTGTCGACCTTTTTGCTGGCTAAAATTATTCTGGAAACTCATGTCAAGAATCCATTTGCAGTGTGTAAGAATTTCAGCATTTGGTGTCCAAGATGCAAATGCTAAGAATATATTATACCCAAGAGATATCAAGGATGTTGATCAGCTCGCGTTGACTATGGAGACAAAGAAGAAGAGAAAAGTCGTGGTTATTGGCGGCGGATACGTTCATTAGTTATAAGCAACTTCGATGTGATCTGCTTTAAATACTCTCATCCACTTCCTTGGAAATCAATTCTTTCCATTTGTTTGTAGACTCAAGAAAAATGTGTCAAGTTTCTTTCTGTGGGAATAAAACTTTAGAAACACCCTAATATTTCTGTGCACTTTCTAAAAGTATCCCACTACTTGTACTTTTGCTATAAAATCTCCCACGCGAGTCACCAATTAGAGGACTGATCGTTTCGTTGGTTCTCTTCAGGTGGTCTAAATTGACAATTTATAAAGTTTTCTGTACCATTTTTGAAGAAACATTAAGTCATTCGGTGTAACGTTACAAAATTTCTTACTTCTTATGGATGCGTAGTGGCTATGGGCAGTGTAACTAATACACGGAAGTGATTTTAGTGATGAGTGTGGGCAGGTTTCTCCGGTTCCCAACCTTTCTTTTCAGTCCAAATTAAATATTGAGAGATGCAAAACTAATTATTGGGACATATTTCAACTTTCTTTTTTTTAGGCTCTTGGATATCTAATTAGGTTATACTTGTAATTATATGGCTTTTAACGACGTTTATATGAAAGTAAACGTCTATTGGCTTCTCAATCCGGCTTAACATCGTCCGACGCCATCTAATTAACTTAGTGACAATATGTTTAACGTCAAATGAGTACATAATGGATATATTTTTATCGATTTATTTCAGTGCCTTGTTGACTTTGAATCAATTACATAATCGACGCATGTACATATTTATTGTGCTTGTTTGCTTTTGTTACTCAAGAGATGGGCCTCACAAATCCATTTTCATAACTTTCATGTATTGTATTATTTTTTCTTAACCATACATATTTATTTTATATTTTTGTGATTTACTTTCTTTTCTTGCATGGAATGTTGCTTCAGTGTTACTTTTTTTCAAATGAGTACTTTCATTAATATCAAATGTTATCCGCATCGTATGTTTTATATTGCATGTCATTTATTCCAATGTGACTATTCAAAAAAAACATTGGGACTCTAAGAAGTGTATAACAACAATCTAAATCTAATGTAAAACGAAAAATAATCGACTCAATACAACAGTAGCTAGAATTAAGTTAAGTTATAAATTAATGTTTTTTCATTTAACGCTATTTTTTTAGTTACTGCTGAATTTCAGATGGCGATTATATATAGAGATGCATGTGGGCGATATTTTTTGACCTTCTAAACACATTGGAACTAAATTAAATTAAGAAACATGTTTGATTAGTTGAGTAATATAGTTCGAGCATTTGATAATATATTGATTGAAACTAAATACGTCTCTTTTCTATTAATTAGTTACTTTAAATATTTTTAACAAGTTTGGTTAGTAGAGGAATATAATTCGAGTATTTAATCATATATATTATATTGATTGAAATAGCATATCTTTTCTACTAGTACTTTGGAATATTAGTACTTTAAAATGATTAAATTATCAAAATTTAGTAAATTTGGACAAATGATCAAAATTTAGTAAATTTGGACAAATGAACAAAATTCGCATGACTATTTTGTTTTGTTTCTAATTGTTTAAAAAACTTACAACTGACTCTATTTTAGTTATATTATTAAATTATACTTGTTTATTATGTTATACTTGGAGTAATTATCCATAATTTTCTTGTTCTTACGGTTCTTATGGATATATTTTCTTGTTTTAATTTTAGTCCCAGCGGCGGCGGCAGGCCTTGTTCCCTTGAAAAGGATGAACCCACCACTTCTGAGGTCCGGCGCTGGTAATAGAACGGGAGACAACACTTTTGCTAACTGTTTTAACAGTCTTCTTCCACATTTTTTTTTGTTTGTTTGTTTTTGTTTTTGAAGGATATCAACTAGAACACCTTTTACCTTCTTAAATAGATAAACCATTGCCCTCGATTCATTTAATGATATTCTTTGATGCCATCAGAATAAGATTTCTCTCCTTAATACCCATATTCTCTGAGTTTTCATCATTACATGTAAATATTTCCGCATACTATTTATTAAGACGTCTGAATATTAAGATGTCAGAACACATCATATTCATACGGGTGCTTAGTTGTTCTCTTAGTATTATTATGTACATATACTTAATGCTTTGTTTTTTTTTGGTTCAAGGCATAAATTCTAAATTAAAGCATGCTTATTCTATAATAACCTAAACTATTAATCATTAATTTCACTTATGTTTTCACTACTTAATTGCATCTACTAAAACTACTAAAAGTGTAAATCAGTTCCAGTTTCTTGAATCTAAATTTGTTGGAGAAATACCCTAAAATATTTTCCCGTTTTCCACTCTCGAGCCTTTGATCTCTCGTGGCAATTCTATGGAGACAACAGTCTGAAATCTACAAAGCCAAAGTTTGGGACTTATTGGGCTAAAAAGGGGAAAAGTGATGCGAGCATTTCTAGGAGGAGGAGTTGTGCATGGAAGAGAACAAGGTCATTGCTAGAGTTGCACGAACACAACCTTCAGTTGGTAGCCTTGAGGTGTTGTCCAATGTTGATGAGTTGCTATTTAATTATTGGATCAAGGGTAAATAGAAATAGGGTTGTGGTTTCCTCCCGGATTCAATATATGTTGTGCAAAAGTATTCTCAATATATATCTCTAGAAGATTATTAATATTCTTTTTTTGATCAAAAATGTTTAGCATGTCTAGGATCTAATTAACTCTCATGTGGGATAAGAGATGAAAAAGTGGTCTTAATAAGAAGTTGACCTATTTTAATGATATGACTATATACTTAATGAATTGTAATGATGAAGAAATATAGAGTACAGTAAATAATGGCGCCATGTAGTAGCCATGCAGTATCAAACATGTACTTTATTTATGTTTTCTTATGGTCTAATGTCATCTCTGTTGGCTTAAATTGACGAGTCAGAATAATTGATTTATTTGTAGTGCTTATAAATAATTAATACTAGTTTAGCTAAAACTCCCACTAAAATTCAATGTGATAATATGATATAAAAAATTTCACAAAAATTCAATTTACCTCCCACGAAAATATAAACTAGACAGAAGATGACAAACACATTCTTAGTACTAAAGCCCGATTCCGTACAAACAGATGACATTCTCTGATAGTGATTAGCTCACTTCTCTCTACTATTCTCTGAGCAACCAAAATCAGAATCGATGATTCTCAAAATAAGAAAAAACCAATCGAAGTTTACAAATTGAAAAAAATAATAATAATCAACGATTTGATTAAAATGAGATAACAAACAAACAAAAAAGTGAAGGATAATACCATATTCTTTAATCGATCTAGGAAGTGATCATATGATCTTCTTCTCCTTCTCCTCCTCCAACTCCGTCTCGCTCTGCTGCTGCTTCGGCTAATCTCTTCCATGTAAATTGGCGTTGTTCTTCTACTTGTTTGGATTTCGCTTGTTTCTCTTCATACTGTCTCCGACATTCTTCAAAGAGCTCAGGATCCATCTCCATGAACATCTTCTTGATATTTGCAGTTAGACCATGAACTGCTTGGTTCCAGTGAGACTGGATATTCTTCTCCAGTGCGGGGTATATGATTGGAAGGATTACGCTTCGGTTCTGCGCGATAAGACCCACAATATGCTCATTGTTCCACAAGAACAGTGCTCTTTCCGCAACCTGTATCGAATGTACGTATCAGGCAAAACCCAGAGCGATTGCACAGAGATATAACAGGAAACTTGTGTAATTGCTAGCATCCAGTGAAATTAATTATAGACTCGTGAACAGAACCAAAGAAAGATCAAACCTACGCAGTTTAAAACACAAATGGATACTACCACACAGAGAAAGATGCTTATATCTCTATTTTTTTTTCCCCCGACTATTCTCTGATTAATAGCATTGTGCAATGAAATCCACGACTCGTGAATAAAGCAAACGCAACAGTACCAATACATTCGAAGAGTTAGTTCAGTCCAAGAAGATTGAAATGAGTGTTTCATGGATAATGAAGGTGATCTAAGAATCCAAGTATTCATTTTCAAGAGTAGCATCTATCGACAGCATGAGATAATCACAATAACGAAATCAGTGTAGTGCAAACAGCAAAATCATGATCATTTTGTGAAATGAAATTAAAAGGCACGGGATAAAAGGACGAAGAAGCAAGCAATGCAATAAAAATTGTAACATAAAAAAGGTGATAGGAAGGTCGATGTTCTTCTATGTAAATTGGCATTGTTCTTTTACTTAAGTTGCATACTCTTTGCAGGTGGATGAATCAGACCCAAGTGAAGATAAAAAAAAAAGGTGACTTGAAGGTGATAGGCATCGAGCACACTAGCACACAATATCTAAAATTCATAGCCTCGATATGCTAAATTTATTTGGAAACATAATTATATCGCAGAAACAGAACAAAGCCTCCAGATTTAAGGTGATAATGTATACACGATTACTAACCTGAAAGTGAGAGCTATTGAGGCAGCGACCAATCTGTTGGAATAATGGAACCATGCAACGCTGGAACTCGACAGGCTGTGTTGCCTCAAGAACTTCTTCAAGTTCTCCAAGGAAGAGATTCTCCTTGGTGCAGTTTGTCACGGGCCAATACTTTAACAATCCCCTGATTACTGTATCCGCGAGCTTATAATCTTTTTCCACAAACTGAACGATGCAATAAGATAACTGCTGATGATATACAGCTATTGGTTTTGGCTTATGCAATGGTATCAACACCCTGATTAGAAATAGCTTGTGCTCTTCCTTCATAGGCAACGCAAACCCGTTTATGATACTGCCTAGAATCTCCAAGAGTTCCCCGATCCCACTGTGTCTCTCTGTCTCATAAATAAACCTATAGAAAATGTTGTTAATTGCTTTCCTAATAAAGGGCCTGTGGACCATAAACTTCCCGTAGATTCTATGAAGAATGGTTTTTAGATACTCCCTCTCTCTCGGGTCTTCAGAATCAAACAAGTCGAGCAACTTCAACACAAAAGAATGGTCGATATACCGTTTTGCCACTTTAGTATCTGTGTCAGTCGAAACAACGTATCTCAGTAGCAACTCGTAAACTAGCTGTAGATGAGGCCAAGAAGGTTCCAGATAAGGTTCCTCTTCCTCAGGATCTGCAGGCTCTTGACCCGTATTCTCGTGTGATGCCGGAGGGAGACACCGGAATATATTGACAGAAATCATCTTAATCATTTCTTCCTGACACGACTCTGAGATCTTACTAGCTCCAGACTGTATAAAATCCACAAGCTCCAACAGCGTTTGCCTCTTAATCTCCTTCTCTCTGGCGTTCTTAATCGTGTCAGTGAAATCAAATTGGAAACAGCAGTTCTGAAGTTTCCTCAAGAACAAAGTCTGCCTCTCTGAAACCGGGACATCCCTGAACAACGGGAGTGGCTCTACTGAGCCCATCGGCGGAGGTGGTGGAGTGGCCGTCACTGGCGACGGAGAAGAAGTAGTCAGTGCGCCACGAGAAGCGTGGCTAACGACCACATTGGAACCAGGACCATAACTAGACGGTTCATTAGCCTCGGATTTAGAGGGCTTTCGGTGCCCACCTTTCATGATTTTCTTAAACATGGCTACACGCAAGGGAGGACTCAAAAGAATCACACTTTTTCCCCCGACTCGAAAGAAACCCTAGGAGATTCACTGGGAGAGGAGCTCAAAATTGGATCAGCATGCAACGGAGGACTAATCAAAACCCTGAGTATTCAAATTTCAAATCCTAAGATTTCGCAGATAGCTCCCACTATGACTCTCCTGGATCGAGCTCCTCATCTTCGCAATCCCGCGGATAAAGATGTGGAAAAGGCTAGAAACAGTACCGGAATGTTGTCGGAAATCTGAGGTGGCGTCAAACCATTGGAGTGATCGAAAAGATCTTCTCGGTGAATACGCTGGTTGATCGGACGGCTATGATTTCCCGGCGATCAAATCAGGAAGAGAGCGAGAGAGAGGGAGATAGATAGAGAGAGGAGAGAGAGGTGGCTAAAGGAGAAAAAGACTGAAATCAAAATTAGCTACAGTAACAAAAAAAATAAAAATATTAGTATTATCATTTGAGTGTCGATAGATTTTATTTATCATAAATATTTGTCGTTCCAGTGTTTCTTGCGCGAAACATCAATTCTATAACTTACTTTTTGCGCGATAACTACTTATAATAATCAAGATTAGTTTTTGCGCGAAATAGAAATTGATTTTCACATACAATTAAAGGAGTGTTAAAATGTACAAAAAAATCGTTTAAACAAATCTCTGTAATAATGTATATGGACAGTGACTATACAAAACGAGAAAACCTAAATTTAATCGAGATTATTGCACGGCGGCGATTACTTTAGTTGATAAAAAGGAAAAATTATTACACGGCGCGGTGTAGAAAGGAGAGAGAAAGAGGGAAAGGTTGACTACGACAATGGCAGTTCCGAGGGGAGGCAATGGTTTGATGGAAGAAGAAGACGATGTTGACGGAGTTAACGCTCTTATTCAGGAAAACGGCGTTGACGACGACGGCGATCCCGAGCTTTCCTCTCACCTCCGTGACTTGGCCGCCGCAGCTCAATCCGGTGACGTCGTCGCCTTGGGCACCGCCATTGGTACTTCCTTTCTTCTTGTCTTGCTCTTAAACGAATCTCTTAACCTTCTGGTCTGGAGAAACCGACGCTTAGGGTTTTCGATTTCAACTTCAATTCCGTATTGCTTGATAGCTGGCCCAGGACGTAAAGCCTCAAGCTTTTAATGAAACCAATAGATTTGGCATCTTCAAAACCATCCCTTTCAAAGAGTAATGTTGTCTTGACTGAGCTGTGCGTAACCCAAAAATTGGATCTTCCCACACCATTACAAACGAGAACTCTACTTAAGCTCTTGTCTCATCTTTCTTCTCTTCCTCTTAAGCCTCCTTAAGGGCTTCTTCTTCCATTTGAATCTATCTTAGCAAGCTCACTGGTCTGTTTTGGTGTTTGCACATTTCGTTAGTTTCACTTTGGAAGGAGAAGAGATATAGACAACTGTAGTTTTTTGCCTATTGTGTATTCTGTCTATCTTTCTTTTGTTTGAGTGATTTGTTGATTAATGCTGTGATGGACATGACAAAAGATCTGCATTCTCTTATTTAACTGATGAAAGTTAGATAAGTTTCTACTGGTAGACTAGTAATGTTATCACATTTGCACCTGAATCGGCTGATATGTCCTAATGTGTGCAACTGTCTGTGGTTTTTAAGAGAACTCTGCTGATGAAGACAATATGCTTCTTTTTCTGATGATTTCCTAATCCGCCTTTGAATTTGATAGAGAATTTGAATGGGAGAGTTGATGAGCCACTTGAGGATAATGACTCGGCACTTCACCTGGCGTGTCTATATGGTCACCTCCCTTGTGTTCAGGTTACTTTTGCTTTTGCTGCTCGCTGCTTTGTCGTTTCTACAGACTTTTTAAAGCTGATGTATTTGTAAACTCATTAATTGCCTATTGATTTCTGCTGCAGCTTCTCCTAGAAAGAGGAGCTAATATGGAGGTCAAAGATGAAGACGAAGCAATTCCTCTACATGATGCTTGTGCTGGAGGTAAATTTGGTCATGGCCCATACCGTTCTTTTGGTATTTACTTCTCACGACATGGTCACGTTCTGTAAGTTATTGTTCTTTTTTTTTTTTGTTGAAACTGGGTTCGCAGGATACTTGGAAATAATAGAGCTTCTTTTTAGCCGAGCTAGTGATCCCGAATCAGTGAAGAGAATGATCGAAACAGTCGACATAGAAGGTGACAGTGTAAGTATTCTCCAACTTCAAATGACTCATTGCCTCTCCCGATCTCTTTGAACGGTAATTAATCTCAAAAGTGTTTCTTGTTCACAGCCTCTGCATCATGCAGCGAGAGGTGAGCATGTTGATGTGATTAGGTTTTTGCTGGGTTCAGGGGCTTCACCAACGCTGAAAAACTCCTATGGGAAGGTAACATTTGAATAACACTTAAAATCATTTCTTTTGGCTTTTCGAAGTAAGTATTGATTAGTGATAGCAAGGTTGTGATTATGCAGACACCAGGTGAATTAGCTGATGTAAACACTGATGCTAGGAGGATTCTCGAAGCTGCTATAGGCGACTCAGTAATCTCCTAGTGATTCTGCAAATTAATATGCTCGGGTCTAAATGTTTTAACTTTTTCTCATTTTATTTTCGGTGGTTTCTCATACCAAGGTTTTTAATCTGATAGTGACTGATGATACCTATGAATTAAGAACGACGTGTCTGTTTTAGTTATTGATGAAACAGAAAGTTGAACAATACCTAAACAGAAACTAAAACTAAGCTCTGCTGTGTTGGTCCAAGCTACTACGTATGCACAGAGCAAGGCAATGGTTGTAGCCAATAACAGTTAGACACCTAAGCAAGACCTCCCTAAGTTATTTTTCCGGCAACGACGATACACACCAATACTACTACATCGGTGCATCTTTCTTATTCGTTTGAATTCAACCCTTCACCATCTTTAGACCTCTCTAAAACTTTCTTCCACAACGTTTACTTCTAGTTTGAAACTTTGAATACTGTCAACACAAGTCTTTTCTCAATTGCAGATTATTGTCTAAACTGGTAGATATTTCGTGAAAAGGAAGAATCCTGTTTAACTGTAGTCAATTTCAAAACATCTCAACGACTTGTTTAAGTTATAATATTTTATCCAAAAAAATCGGAAAAATTGATAGTTATAATATTTTTTCCAAAAAAATCGGAAAAAATTGATATGCACAAGTGTTTACGAAGTTTTTTTTTTTCCTAACATAAATAGAAAAATGTAATTTATTCGGAGTTTGCTCATTTGGGTTTTTCTAAGTAATGTATGATCTCTTTCTTTTTTTGGGGTAGATTATGATGATAATTATTCCTTTCGAGGAAAATAAAAGAATGAGATCTTTGTGGACTTCTTAATTATTATTAATTTATTAATTTGTTGAGGGATTTAATAAGTTAGTGGCTTTAAGTGCGAAGAATTCATAAATGAAGACTAATACAACAAATACAGTAAAATATGATCCACCAATTAGCAACTTTATAGCAGCACTACTGAGAATCGTTTTTACTGCCATTCCTTTCTTTTTGGCTTTCTCCTCCAGGAAAATATTCTTTCTCCGGTGAGAAGAGATTTTCCGGGGAAAATTAGCAGAGCTTGGTTTTAGTTTCCGTTGAGAAAGAGGGTACATAAGTGATTACTTTTATCTTCTCCGATGGCGGGTGCGCCGGCAAGAGCTCGTTCAGACTATGATTACCTCATCAAGCTCCTCCTCATCGGCGATAGCGGTAAAGTCTCTTCCTCACTCTCTCTACCTCTCTCACTCTTTAGAAGTATTTAACAAACCAGCGATTCATAAAATGTTCGATTTTTATCTGAGAATCTTCTTTCGTGCCTCTTTTTGCTATCTGAATTAGGGTTTGTGTGTTATATTGTGTGTGTGTGTGTGTTTCTATTCGTATTTAATCAACTAGTCTCTCTTAATTCAAGTATCGATATAGTTTTGTTTATGGAAAAATTTGGCTCAATTGGAAATAATCAAATTCGCATGCTAGGATTGTGAAGAACGAATAAAACATTTGTATAAGTTGATGATAGAAGTAGTTCAGATAAATTTGTTTACTTGAACATTTTCTAATTCGGTTTATAGTTTTTTGTTAATTTTTCTTCTTTTCTTTTTGTGCTTATGTGTGTGTATATACGCAGGTGTGGGAAAAAGTTGCTTGTTACTGCGTTTCTCGGATGATACTTTCACCACAAGTTTCATTACTACCATTGGGTATGTCTTTCTTCATTTGGCTGTTTTCTTGTGTTTCGTCTTGAGTGTTGTTATAAACACTTGTCTAAATTCTTTTTTTTTCTTCTCCAGGATCGATTTCAAGATAAGAACACTCGAAATTGATGGGAAGCGTATCAAATTGCAGATATGGGACACTGCTGGACAAGAACGTTTTAGAACTATAACTACAGGTAAAAGTGGTTTATGCTCTGAATATAACGATTTTATGCCCGAAGTTAACTAAAAGCTACTCGATAATTTGTATGAGTCTATTCATTTCTCTGTTGATAATAATTACACAACATTCCAGGAAATGCGGTACTTTTAGAAGATGAAAAAAGTCGATGGGTTTACTTTTTTTTACTTGTTGTTATCGTCTAGATGCCATTTAAAAAAAAAAACCTTTGGTCCATCTTTTTTTTTTTTTTTTGCAGCATATTACAGAGGAGCAATGGGTATATTACTCGTCTATGATGTAACAGATGAGTCATCCTTCAACAGTATGTCTCTGGCTTTTCTTTTTGTGAGGAACAATATTGCAAGACACTTGTGGGAACTAATACATATTGTTTCTACAGACATTAGGAACTGGATGAGGAACATTGAACAACATGCTTCAGATAGTGTCAACAAGATATTGGTTGGTAACAAAGCCGATATGGACGAAAGCAAAAGGGTAGTTTTTTTTTTTCTGTGTACTCTGTTCACATTCTTGACTATGTTTGCTTACATTTCTTAGTATACTAATTCTGCATCTTCTTCTACAGGCCGTCCCAACGTCAAGGGGACAAGCTCTGGCTGATGAGTATGGAATCAAATTCTTTGAGACGGTGAGCTGAAAAATATATGACATGTTTATCTCATTGTTCATTTTTTCGTTTAAAGATTTAATTTTCTCAAAACGATGTGTTTGGACACTGTTGCAGAGTGCAAAAACAAAGCTGAATGTCGAGGAGGTTTTCACATCTATCGCGAAAGACATTAAAAAAAGACTCACAGAAAGTGACACAAAAGCTGAGGTAAAGAAGCACATGGAGTCTTCTACTTATCCGATGCTTAGATTATGAAACTGACTATGTAGATTGCTGAGAAAATGTCTACTGTCTTTGTTGCTTTGCAGCCCCAAGGGATCAAGATCACTAAACAAGATGCTAACAAAGCCTCATCGTCTTCTACAACTGAGAAATCAGCTTGCTGCAGTTATGTTTAGTAGTTCCATGGACCTGTTCCTGATCTCTTATCGACTTTAATCTTCTTTGCATCCTTCAGAGATCGTCCTAAGTTCTTATTGTTATTGTTACTTAGGGAGAGAGACTTCATTGATGGGCTGTGATCTTATGTCTATTTTGCTATCTCCATGGCCAAACACTGGAAATGGTAGACAATTTTTAAGAGTTCAAAGACCTTGAATTAGTGCAATGCAGGTGTTGTGGTGTGTATAAGTAATCTACGTTTTCAAACGTTCGAAATAAGAGATTTCTCCTTGCACTTTTGAGTGTATTTTCTAATCAAATCCAGAGTTTGAGACCAAAAGTAAACACAATATAAGAATATGAGGCGGTCTTTTTTCTTCTGTATGGTGAGGTTATTAACTTACTACACAATATCAGTCGAGGGAAGAAGAAGAAAGATCTAAGGATTTTGAAAAATTTACAAAGTTTCATCTTCTTGAGAAATTTACACACAAAAGAGGCCATTCCAATTGGAAAAGGCAAACCAATCAGCTCACGAGCAACACCGACTTTGATGAGTTCGGTAATCAGGTTTTCTCTTCACAGAGCTTGATCCTTCTTCCAAAAGACTAGGTACCTCCAAAATCTGTTCATTTTACACCTCTCCAATTATTCACTTTCCTCATTTCCGAAAATTATGAAAGTGAAAAGGGATCATCAAGATTCTCTCTTACCTTTAAAGCAAGCTCTTCAAAGCACTGCTTCACGTTTTCTCGGGTTCTTGCGCTACATTCATAAAACAAACACTTGAGTTCTTTCGCTAGAGCCATGCCTTCTTCTCGGCTAACCCTCCTCTCAGATTCCTGTAACGACAGCTATAAGTGAAACCAAATTCAAGTTGATTTGATTACAAGCAAGTGTTATTATTACTACTCACTTTATCGACTTTGTTGCCAACAAGCATCTTAATGCAATCATGGTTAGTCGAGTAGAGCTCAATCTCTTTAGCCCAAACATCTGCTAAGTTTAGAAATGTCTCTCTTTTCGTCACATCATAAACTGCATCATCATCAAGAAAACCAGGACAAAGTTTTAAAAGTTTTAGGAAGTTTTTACCAAAACACCAACCAGCGATTCTGTGATCATATCATTACCAAGAATGATTCCTTGGGAGCCTCTGAAATATGAACTCGTCAATGTTCTGAACTTTTCTTGTCCAGCTACACAATAAGAAGCCAAGAAATCACATCGACCATGAATTTTGTGGTAACTGTCTACAATTCCCAATTATCAATACTGTATCTCGAATTTGTGTTTTCTCTATAGGAATTAGCTTACCTGTGTCCCAGATTGTAAGTTTTACTCTTTTCCCTCTTACTTTCAACTGTTTGATTTTAAAATCAACACCTACAATGTTATACAGATCAGATCAGGCAAATTAAAGCAATGCTAGTGCAGAGGAAACAAGAAAAGCAAGCAATTTTCGGTTTTACGAATTTCTCAGACAGATATATGATCTTCAAGCACGAAGTTGACTCGGAAACAGACAGAAAGTCAAAACCCCACAAAAAAAAATTCTGGTCAAATGTGAATTCAGAGTGCCAATATAAGTTTTGAGAGATTCCTGAGCTTCCACTAATGGACACTAGTAAGCCTAAAGAAATGACACAGCTTGAAGTCTCAACTTTAAGTATATCTGAAAACGTCACAACAAGAAAAAATAATTTCTCAGTTCATTTCCCCGGGAAACAAGCAGAAAATAAAAAAAAATGAAAGCTTCAAGTCTCAATTTTCAGTTGACTTCATTTGAATTTTGACCAGACAGGACTTTTAGCTCAGAAACTGTAAGCACCTGTTTTAAGGAAAAGGTCAAAATGATGTTTTACTCTCTTCAAACACAAAATCAACAGGTTGCCGACAAAGAGATATGAGTTAATAACCAGTCAAGATTGTAGCCCTGAGACTGATTTAGCTAAGTACCATTCTCAAAACAAATAAAAAAATATCTCAACAAGAAAAACGAATTTTATCAGCTCATTTTCCTAGGAATCAAACAGAAAATGAAGAAAATACCGATGGTAGGAGCAAGATCTTCGACAGAGCTGGAAATGAAGCTGAGAAGCAAGCTACTTTTACCAACACCAGAATCTCCAATCAATAAGATCTTGAAAGAAAGATCGAACCCACTTTGCCCAGAAGAAGATCCCATTCTCTACAATCTCACTGTAAATCTCTCGATTTCTTTTTCTTTTATCTTTTGTCGATTCAATACTGTAGAAAAATAGCAAAAGATCCCAAACGAGATAAACCTACTTTAACAAACAAAGAAAAAAAACTTAATTTTGACTTCTTTCAATGTATAGTAATGGAGATGCTTCTTGTTTTTATCAAAATCTCTCTGTCTCTCCACTTTTCTTATGAATGAATCAAAAAAGGTGAAAGCTTTTCCTGTGCAGATGAATCTATGATTCATACATTAATAGACATGAAGAAACTTTGTTCTTTACAGAGCCAAAAAAAAAAAAATGCAAAACGTCTATGAGAGATTGAACAATTTACACTTAAAACGTCAATTTCATTGCTTCTCTTTCTTTCTCTGACATTTTGCTTCACGACACGTATCTCTGTTCTCTATTTCAACTTTCTTCCGAAGTCCGTCATGTGTCCACGTGTCTATTTCTGCCTAGATTCCGGTTTCTTGAGTTTGATAATGAAGCCAAATATCTCATGCAATCAAGAAGTGCGGTTACGGTTGCAATTAAGTTTTGCGGTTGCAGCGATTGAGAAAAAGAAAAATTGTTTCCTTACTGAAGATCTCAAGGTCTGTTTATAGATAGATACTTACAACATTTTTTTGCATTTTCCTCTACAAAAACAAAACATAACTGTACTCTTTTCTCTGTCCCTTTCTCTATGAGCTGTTCTGGGGAAACACCTTCTTGATGAACTCAAGAAAACGTTGGGAGTAGAAAGTAGGATCAACGGCTGAGATCGAAAGAGAATCAAAATGAAGAGATTTGTAAGCGTGCTCGATCTTCTTGGTCATGTTGTACTCTTGTAAGATGTCTATAATGCCAAGATAGAGCACAACGTCGCAGCATTCGTGTAAAATCTGCTTATCTTTCTCTTCTCTTCCCGGTATCAGCTCTGCTCTTGCCGGCATGTTCACTCCTTGCTGTATCTGCAACCTGCAATTATGGAGATATTTCTCAGAAACCGGTTCAAGAACCGGACCAAGTTTGTAGCCGAAACCCGGGACGGGGAGTGAAAAAAAACAGCATACATCAGTTGCATGTCGTCTGGATCACATGTATTCCATTTCTTTGTCATCATCATTTGTTTCTGAGACTTTGGTGTTCTAATCATAGGAAAGTCAAAAAAAAATCCAAAACTGAATCCTAATTTTACCCCGGAGATCTTCTGAAATTGATGAATACTAGACACTAGTAAGCTAGAAGTGTGACTGCATTATTGCTACAAGTGCATGAGCTTAGAAATGCTTTTAATTTGTTGTATTTTCAACACAACTTGAGTGTTTTGGCGCTAGTTTCTATATGACATTGAGCAACATTATGTTAAGATAACGCTTAGTTTCTCATTTGCCAATGAGTTGAGTTAGTTTACCTGGCTGTTCCAGGAAGAAGGAGATCGACTTCTTCATCGCCAGCAGCTGATGCTCGTAATCTGCTGCCTCTGATGTGAGGGCCAGTTACAATATTGTCACTTCCCCCAGGAACAAGAACCAATCCTTGGTGGTAAGACAACATGTCGTCTTCGATTGTATCTTTTCCATCATCATTAGAAGATTCTGTATTAATAAGGATCTCGAATGTGTATGAATCATTCTAGAGGCTATGAAAAAAATAAGAATCTCACCATCTTCAGCTACACTTTCTAACGCATCAGTTGTTATACTTCGAGAACGGACCAATTGGGACCTTAAGTGCTCTGGAGCTCGATGATGCACACCGAGCAAAAGGCTGTAATCCATTATGTTCTGGTCTTCCAAGAACTTGCTATCGATCTCTAGTTGCCTGATTACACCACCAGAGACTAAATTATAAACATGAATTGGCAAATGTATATATATCTTACAAATTGGTCTTGGAGAGAGCAATACCTTAGTAAACCTTCCCGCCAAGAAGGTTCCAAGAAGAAGTGGTAGTTGAGATCCAAATCTTTAAGTATCGTGTTCTCGTCTATCTCGACTTTGTTTGCAGAGCGTCCCAATGACGAACCTTTAAGGTCGAATCTCCGATGAATTCTTAGATCTGTAAAGAACATGTTACCCATCACCACAAAGCGGAACTGCGATGCAAGAAGATTTTTAAAGTTAGTATTATAACTGATTTGGATTTTCCAATGTTACTATCTCAAAACTGATGATAGTACAAATCAAGATAAGAATCATAAATTTGGTATCAGGACCTTTTGACCACTTGATGGTTTGATTCTGTGAAGGCCAAAGAATTTGGTAATGAGGGTGTTCTCATACGTCTTCACATGATGATGGTAATCTGGAAGCATCCTCAAGAGAACCTACACATGAAGATTTTATTACACTCCATTTTTATAGATTACACACAAGCTCTGGCCAGCAGAACAAAGAGTCTACACAAACTGCTGGTTCAAAATTTAGTAATGGATAAAGCTAGGAAACATTGATGTGGAACAGAGATGGTGGGTGCATAAGTGGTCACAAACCTTGACTTCAGATTTCCTGAGTGTTTTAATCATGAACCGATCATCCTGAGACAGAAAGAAGACGCTCCCGCTCTTCCCTGGAGAAGAAAGCTCCCTCAAGGTATCATTTCCACAAATGGACATCATATAATCAGCTGCATCGATCTTGAACATCTCCCTCAGGTTCCTACCAGGTTTAGAATTAATGTAAACACAATGGAGGCAACTAGTATTAAAAAAAATGTAAGCGCAAAGCTTTTGAGTAAAGATAATAAATACTAACCTGAATACCATTGGGCAATAGTCCTTCCATTTGAAATCTTCAGAGTGGTGAGGAGGAGTCATAGTGGAGCCAGCTCGAGGAAAATTCATCCAAAAACTAGCACGAGGTCCAAAGTCTGCTGTCCGTACTTCTCGCCTTTGTATGGGCGTGATTTTCCCCACTGTGTATCTAAATGTTTGAACTAGTTCAGTGACACAATACTATGTGCTGAATCTAGAGCTAAACAATGTCACAGGACACAGATTTATAAGGAGCTAAGAAGCATACCTGATTCCAAGCTGCAAACTGAGCATCAAATCATAACTTCGGTGACCTTTGATAACAACTTCCCCAGGCTTCTTAGCTTCTTTAACAAGCCTTTTGTGTTTCCTTTTTGCTCTTCTTGACGTGCGTGAAAACCCGTTGTTTACCACGAGCTCACTAATCAGAACACCTTGCATATACTCCCGTTCCAAAATCGGTATGTTTGCTTTATACTGCACACTACCTCCACTATCTAGAGCTGCCTCGGATAAATCAGAGTAATCATGCCCAATCACTTTCTCAATAGATACTTCAAGACTCCAACGTCTTTCTAAAGAAACCCTTCCGTTTCGAGATTGCTCTAAGTTCATCAAGCTCCCTTTCGAGAGCTTATCACGGTTCACACCAACTCTAAGGTTCTCCATATTAACCGAAGAAGCAACTTGGTTCTGCCTTCTCAAATCCGGTAAAACGCCTCTTTTCCTAAGAGCGTTCAAGTAAAACTCTTGCACGGCAGGAACTCTAGTTCCTGCTGAATAAAACGAGCCTTTACCATCTTTCAAACCCCGTGTCCATGTCCCAACATAGCAACCTCCATCGCTCCATGTATACACACCAAGACCATGCATCATACCATTCAACCAACTCCCTTCGTAGGAGTCTCCAGTAATCCAAGTCAACGTACCCTTTCCCGACATTTTCCCGCCTTTCATATCCCCAAGATAGACATTTCCATTAGCCCAAGTATACTTCCCTGGCCCTTCTCCCAAACCCTGAATCCAAGAACCTTCAAAGGCATCTCCATTCGGATAAACCTGATATCCAAGCCCGTGTTTCAGATTAAGCCTCCATCTTCCTTTATACGTTAAGTTGTTAGCATCCATGTAAGTCCCTGTACCGTGCATATAACCTCCTGAGAATTCACCATCATACCATGCCCCGGAGGCCCATCTCATCTTTCCACTTCCATGCCTCATCCCACGCCTCCACTCTCCGTCGTAAACACACCCATCTGACCACACGTACTTCCCTGATCCCTCGGGAACATTCCCAAGCAAAGAACCACTGTAGGACTCGCCATTGGGGAGCAAAAGCTCCCTAACTCTGAACCTGGCATCCTCAGAAGTTTCGGTGATTTCTCCATTGGTTAGCGCTGATATGATCTCTTTCTTAGTGAGCGCATCAACAGATTTTGTTCTTTCTGCACAAGCAACTGGTCCTCCCACTACAGGGGCAGACATGTAAATCTCCAAAGAAGCTAAAGCACAAAGGCTCAGACAAAACTGCAGAGCAAAAGGCGTCACAGCTTCAAGGAGAATGCTTTTTCAACAAAACATGAGGCTGGCATATAAAATGTGCACTCCGTCAATGAAGAACAAGAATCACGTTCCAAGTCACGATATGTGAATCTAGAATCAGAATCAGAAGAAAAAGGAAATTAGTGAACTTTTTGATGAATACAACAATCTAAAAACTAATGAGGAAAACATGTAAATATAGAACTATGGTCACAAAAGCAAAGACTTCCTCCAATCTCTATCAAAAACGAAAATTAAGACACGCATCTGATTCTTGGCCCCACTTGAAAGAACACGAACTCATCAATTTTCACACAGAGAGGCTGAGAATGAGAGGAGCAAACAAAAACCCCTTTTCTCTCTCAAAAAGAATGCCTTTTAGGGAAGAATGCAATCATAATGTCTTTTTAAAAAATCTATAAATCATTAAAAAAAAAACTTTTTTTCTTTTGGATTTCTCGTTAAAGAAGAGATTCCTCTCACGTCTCCAAATAAAAGCCAGAGTATGCCAAACTTACCAAACCAAAAGCTAGAGCGAATCCTACTTTTTTTAGGAATTGATCAAAGGAATCCAAAATGTTCATCACAGCTTTCAAAATTTCAATCTAAATTTAAAATCTCTACTCATAAAAGTTCAAAATGAAACTCCTCTCTTCAAACCCAATAGCCATGACTTGGAAACAAAAAAAAAAAAAAGATTAAAACTTGGATTATCAGAATCACCAAAGCAACTCCATTTCAATCTTCAATCTTCATCAAAGATAAAATGGAAGCAAACGAAATCGAAAATCCCGGTTTCAAGACTTCAATATAAAGAGAACCCAAAATTTAGAAAAACAAACAACAAGCAAACTCGAGAAATGCCCCCAAAAAAAATTGAAACCGGATCCGAAAACCAAATCGAGAACATCAAGTAAGAGTTGCACAAACCGTAGGGACAAAACTAAACAGCTCCTCCTCTCGTTCTTCTTCA